CACGAGAAACCAGAGCTAGAGGAACGTAAATCAGAGCTTTTAAAATCCGAGGAAGACCTACGAGTCCAACTAGCAGGACTGGAGGAGTCCTTGCTGCAAGAGCTAGCATCAGCTGAGGGTAACATACTACAGAATAAAGCATTGCTGGAGTCTTTGAATGAAACTAAAGTGAAGAGTCTCAACATTAGTCGCTCACTGGATGAGTCCCTCCAGCTACAAGAGTCGCTCAATCGTGAGAGAGACGCTTACCTTCCTCTCTCTGAGTATGGTAGCAACCTTTTCTTTATCGTCTCTTCTCTCTCTCGCCTCAATCACATGTACCAGTTCAGTCTCGCTGCCTTCATGCGTCTGTTTTGTAGAGCCCTTGAGAGCCGAGAACACATTGGGAACACAGAGCTAAGACTACGCTCACTCCGGACTACATTTGAGTCGCTGGTCTATCACTCGGTAATCCGGTCTTTATTTAAAGCTGATAGTCTCGTGTTTGCCTTGCATTTGGTCCACGGCATGCGGCCAGAGTTATTCCAGGATAAAGAGTGGGAGCTGTTTACTGGTCAGCTGGTTGAGGGAGTATTCAGGAGACAGGACTCGATCAAAGCATTGAAGGATACCCTGCCAGCCTGGTGCAACCCTGAGCAGGCCAGTCAGATAACAACACTCAGCTCTAATTTCCCCACTCTCTATTCAAACCTTGATCTCTCTAATACCAATCTCTGGGCTGCTTTCAGTCGTAGCTCTCAGTGTGAGAGAGAGTTCCCTCCGACTGTCCTAAAGAGGATCACTCCTTTCCAGCAAGTCCTTGTGATACAGGCCCTGCAACCCGATCGCTTACAATGTGCTATGGAGCAGTTTGTTCATTTCGCTCTAAGTCTAAAGGAGCTATATCCATCGTCTCTTAATCTCAAGAAACTCTATGCTACTGAAACTTTGCCATCGGAACCGATACTCCTCATAATTTCCCCCGGGGCAGATCCATCACAAGAACTCCAAGAGTTAGCCGAGGAGGTAGTTGGTGGAGACAATTACCATCAGGTTGCAATGGGGCAGGGACAGGCCGACATTGCATTACAGTGTCTGATGGACTCTGCTCAATCCGGACAATGGCTCTGTCTTAAAAACCTTCACCTTGTCGTACCATGGCTACCAGTCCTAGAGAAGAAACTAAACTCACTGGATCCTCATCCCAACTTCAGGTTATGGCTCACCACTGAAGCTCATCCTAAATTCTCTCAGATCCTCCTTCAGAGTAGCCTCAAGATAACGTACGAGGCTCCTCCTGGTATCAAGAGGAACATACAGCGCTCGTACGAGTCCTGGACTGCCGAGTACGTGGAGGAGGGGAAGAGTGTGACAAGAGCTCAGGCTCTCTTTGTGTTGTCATGGTTTCATGGAGTCGTCCAGGAGAGGCGTGTGTACATACCTCAGGGCTGGTCCAAGTTTTACGAGTTCTCACTTGCAGACATGAGGGCTGGTGCCAACCTTATTGATAGACTCATTGGAAGACAAAGTATAGAATAACATTGTTATTATATTGTAGATGTACTTGTAAAACAGTCTGTAATGGTATATGCATTAACATGACTTATAAAGTTCTTTGTCTCTCTTTCTTTTGCCAACCTTATTGATAGACTCATTGGAAGACAAAGTACAGTAAACACTAGAATAACATTGTTATTATATTGTACATTGTACTTGTAAAACAGTCTGTAATGATATATGCATTTACATTACTTATAAAGTTCTCTGTCTCTCTCTCTTTTCTAGCCTCTGCTATAGATTGGGAGTTCATGACTGGACTAATGGAGAATGCCATATATGGAGGTCGTGTTGATAATACATATGACATGAGAGTCCTCAGCTCCTACCTTCATCAATACTTCAACAGCGGAGTGGTAACCGGTCAAACCGGTTACACGCACCAGTCAGGCAAGAAGAGCCTTCCTATTGGACACATACCAGTATCATCAAAGCTACAAGTACATTAATAAGGGTTGTCACTTTTTAAAATTTAAATTTTTATCTTTCTTTTAAAGGATTTCTTAGGTGTAGTGTCTTCGCTGCCAGAGACGGACAAGCCACTTTATTTTGGCCTACCAGCAAATATTGACAGATCAAGGCAAAGGACAGTTAGCAGTCAAGTAAAAGAAACAATGTTACTGCTATTTGTTATTATATGGTTGCTTGTTTGTTTTTAGGTTATTGGTCAGTTAAGGTTGCTGCAAAGGGGCAGCACTGGTAGTGTTAAGTTTGACAGAGAAGCTTGGAGCCAGAGACTGTCACCATTATTAAACTTGTGGAGAAAACTGAACCAGGTGCTAATAATCGGGATGAGCGTTCCTATACATATTTAATATTGAATGTTTTATATATTTGTTTAGGGGTCTGATCTGTTAAAGAAGAAAGTTTCTTTGCCATCGGAAAAGATACAATCGCCCGTAACTGCTTTTATTGCTCTTGAGAATTACAATGCAATAAAATTGATACATGTAAGGCGACAGTATTTTGCATGTTTTTTAAAAATAATAATATATGTTTTTTCTTTAGCTGGTTCATTCTAGTTTAGGATTACTCAACAAGGTCTTAAAAGGTTCTTCTCTTCTAATGCCGTCAACTCATCAATTAGCTCAATCACTCCTAAATCATCAAGTCCCGCCCACCTGGTCTTCTCAGTGGGAGGGGCCAGAAGAACCATCTGTATATCTCAGGACATTAATAGGGAAGGCATTGGCTCTGAGTACCTGGCAGGAGAAGTCAACACAAGGCGTGTTGTTGAAAGAGAAACCTTTAGATCTTTCTGAAGTATTCAATCCTGCAACGTTCCTCAATGCTTTACGACAAGAGACAGCAAGGTGATGTCATGTGATGTAATATGATGTCATGATAAATTTGTGTATTATAATAATAATAGGCTGTTGAAGATCAGTATGGACTCGTTGGTGTTTTATTGCAGCTGGAGAGTCTCTTCTGTTTCTAAGAAACTAGTATTACCAGTTCAGGTGCAATTTTGATCTTTTTATGAAATTTACCAAATTTTTGCAAAATGCCCTGGTACATTTGTTTCATCAAAAATGGCTAGGAGAGAATTTTATATTTTTATAATTTTTTCTGATACATATATGTGTTTTAATGTTGTGTATCAAGTTTGAGCTGGTTCTGATCAAAATTAGATTTTTTATGAATTTTTAAAGTTACTCAAAAATTGGATGAAAGTCCCTGTACTATAGTACAGGGTCGTTGGCCAAATTTCGTCAAAAATGGCTAGGAGAGAATTCTGCATTTTTATAATTTTTTTTGATACATATACATGTACTTATGTTGTATTTCAAGTTTGAGCTGGTTCTGATCAAAATTGGATTTTTTATGAGTTTTTAAAGTTACTCAAAAATTGGACAAAAGTCCCTGAATTTTAAAGTTTACTCCAAAGGCCATGAGCTTTATAGTAACAGGGTATTTTATCAAAAATTACTTCAATAGAATTCTCCTTTTTATAAATTTTAAACTTAAATTTTAATCTTTGAACTATATTGCCAACTATTATACACAGTCAGTTATGTTTCTCTGTTCCTATCACAATGTACAGGTATGCAATCTTCAGTTGGAGGGATACAGTTTTGAGAGTGGCTGTCTTGTCGAGAGTAGACATGATTCACCAAGCGTCATCACTCTCCCTCCATGCATAATGGGATGGGTATCACCAGACACTCCTCCGGCTTATCATCCTCAAGAGTCTATACCACTCCCAGTCTATGCTAGTGAGAATCGTGAGAAACTGGTTATACAAGTTGACGTGCCTTGCGGTAACGCCAACCAGGAGGCCATTGTACAGACTGGTGCTGCAATATTCCTAAAAAACTTGTAAAAGGAACACTATATAGGCATATTAAGTACATTGATGACACTATTATAACTGTCATTTTATCTTCATAAACAAGACTTTTTCTTTTTTCTTTATGTTTAAACCTCATGCTATTATTGTAATTATTAATTCAAGTAATTAAATGGTGTACTAGATCTGTGGTTGCACGACCTTCTCCTATTTCTTAGAACAATTAGTTGCTGGTGTGGACTGTGGTGAATAGCTAGCTATGCTGAGATTGCTTGTTGTACCAACACATGACTCATCTATCACAATAAGCTCTATTATTATAATAGTGGAACTGTCTGCTTTCAGTATAGTACCCCCACACATACCTTCTTCATTTCTTTATTCTGCAACAGTGAAAGAGATGTTTGCTCGTTCTTTTGTGTGTTTTCTTGTTCTTCATTTTGTAGTGCAGTCTGCTTCTATATGCATCCAAGAATATGGGACTGACTCAAATTGCACTGATTCGTTAATGTTGCTTGTGCCTCGGAGTCGACTGGAGAATAATGATTATGGACTGTTAGTGAAAGACTTCGCCAGTGTTACCGGTTTTAATATAGGTTCAGTAACTGCTCGATACTTCACTGTTAAAATTGGAAATAGATCTACATCAAAACATTATGGTCTAACAGAAAAGGTATGCTTGTTTTTAGATGTGTATGTATTTGATCATTAGTATAGATTGTAGTTGTTATTCTATGTCCTTGATTTAGGTACCTATTCCTTCTGACATTGGTAGTGGGTTGCTTACAATTTCTTTGAATTATTTTTTTTCTATTACTCATACCACAATTGAGTGTGCTAACGAATCACCAGACTTGTATCATGTTAAAGTACAGAGTCAATATTTAATAACTCTGCAAATTTTTGGTAAGCATAAAGAGCATCTAATGTGATTTACAATCTTTCTTATTCATTTTTAGACAACCCCGTCTTGCATTACAGAGAAAATCCAAACATTCTAGAGTGTCAGTTTAATCATCCCATCTCCAATGTATTGATTGAATTCAAGTTGAATGATAAGGTCCTAGGTTACTGTGGCTCATACATGGTTAGCCCATTAGATGACAACAGTAAAGAGATATCTATCTTTTATAATGCCATGAGTGATGTCTGTGCTTTAAAAATCAAAAGAGTAATAGATGCTAACAGGGGGGAATATGCATGCTCTGTAATGATTCCTTATCCTACTGGTAATGCTTTTTTGAAATTGAACTCTTCATCATTTACTCCTACCTCATCACCATCACCAAAAACCCAACCTGCTACAATTGGAATTGTATTTGGAGCTATTGCCACTGTTGTAGCAATAGTCATTATTATAAGTGTCATAATTCTAGTTCTGCATAAAAAAAAGCTTTGTTGTAATAAATCTACTCCTGCAGGTTCCAGTGAAAGTGAAACAACTCAACTTACCCATGATAGTGAAGCAGATGGTGTTATTACTGAATCTCAACAAAATGACAAGAAATGATGGTTATAACTTTGATTTATTAAACTAGACTAGTATAATTATATTGTGTGCTTTTATTGTTATTATTAGATCTATTTTATGTTAGTAAAACAAAATGTAAAGTCCCATGTGGACTTGCTCTAGTGATGGGCATGCCCATTTTTGTGGATTAATTATTAATTTTTGCTATTTCTTCAGGTCCATAAACTAAACTTTAACATGTAAAACTAAGTAAATTTATAGCCAATGAAGTAAAGTCAGATTTATATGTTTATTGAAGTGTCTTGCTCTTCCTCTCTCTCTTCCTTCTTCTTTCTCTGAAGTGCGGGCCAGACATGGTCATTATGATCCTCCAGCTCGATGATGTCACTGATATTACCATGACTTTGTGAGTCAGAGAGGAACGGATTAGCATCAGACCAATCAACCTTGACATCAAAACTATTTAAAGAGTTAATGGTAGCATCACGTGTTAGACGTCTTTTCCCTCCTTCCCCCCTTCCTCCTCCTCTCATAGTGCTAGCTTGAGTCTCAGAGGAGAAGATGGAGCTGCTGTCATGATCTGATGAATCACTGTCATAAGTCGGATTCATGTATGCCTTCAAGAAAAATAAATAATTTATAGTATGTTCTGGCTCATACCTTGTTACCATCATCTGTTTTACTACCCATCATTGACTGCAGTGGAAAAAAAGATAAATATAAGAACTGCTTCAGCAGTATTAGCTTTAGCTTACTAAGATAGTTGATGCTGTTCTCACAGTTGCTGATTTGAAACCTCTCTTATTGTCTCTGTATACATGAAAAAGAGTTTCAAAAGATATAAAGAGAGCAAAAAATGCTATATCGCTTCATGCAGTCTTAACTTACTTGTCAGGATTGATGTAAAAGTTGTCAGCATACATTTTATGCTCTCTCTTTCTTTGCCTCATTTCTACAAACAAACAAAATGATGGTGAGATGAGAACATAAGAAGCTATTATTACTTTTATGCTTTCTCTGATAGTGACAGAAACATATTATGAACAAAGCAGTTCCACCAATTACCAACACACCAACAAACCCACCAACAACTGCTGCCACGTATAAACTAAGAGAATGACCTGAGGATTATAAATAACTATGAAATCCACTAATAGTATTGCTTACTTTGTTGTGCTGTTGTAGGAAGGACAGTGGCCACTTCACTGCAGTCTTTCACTGGGGATACAGCAGGATTGGAGCAATTATAACCAGTTGGACAGGTTTGACAAGTAGCCGAACCATATTGAACTGTGTAGGTACCATTGGAACAAACCTAACATGCCTTGCAGTTAAGTATTCAAACCCAATGACTTCTAACCTGGCAATGAGCAAAGCCAGTTCCTCCAGTTATATTCCTAAATGTACCAGGTGGACATGGCTTAGGCATTGACCGCCAATTCTCACAGCTTTATACAACAAAAGGACAATTTAAACATTGTAGTACACATATGAGATAACTTACTAGTACCCAGGAGGACAGGGTCTACACTGATTGACTTCAAGTGATAAATAGTAGCCATCTTGACACGGGCTGACTGTACACTGCTGAATGCATGAAATGCAACTACACTCTAGAGAAAAAGGAGAGGAGAAAATATATATTATTCTATTTTATTTTATGCAGTTTTGTTGTACTACCTTGAGCCTCACAATCAACGCATGGATGCAATGTAACATTATCTATTGCAACAAATGTATCACTTAAATCATCATCGCCAGTCATCACAGGAACCATTTCAAAAGTGACATTTCTCCCACTCATAATCTCCACACTGCTAACATCAATGAAGACAGACACGTCCCTCCAGGTGACATTAGAGGAGATATAAGTGTTTGTAGACTCATGCAAAGAGTAACTGGACCATACCACTCCTAAACCAGACACTAGTACATGCAAATCAATGTCAATGCTCTTCATTAAACTGAAGCTTAATCCACAGTAGCTATCATTAATAATTGAGTGCCCAATAATGAATGAATTGGAGGTTGAGAGAGAGGCGTCTAGCAGTGGTTCACTGTACAGATATGAATTGCTCTCAATTTCTTTGATGCTTGAATCCGATTGGTCGCTTAGCTTCCAGTCACATGGCCCGCTTTCAAAATCACATGATTTAATATAGGAACAATTTTCAAAAAACTCTGCTATCATGAAACTAATTACAAAAGATTTTGATATTGGATTGCCGATATTCTTGTAATCAGCAGAAACAATTTCAGCCTCAACCTGTAAAAATTATAATCAGTTTCACAGAAGTTCAGAACTTATGGTCTTTTTCAACAACTTTAAAAATTCATAAAAAATTGAATTTTGATCGGAATCAGCTCAAATTTTTTATACAACATAAGAACATGTATATATATCAGAAAAAAATTATAAAAATGCAAAACTTTTTCCTAGCCATTTTTGACGAAATTTGGCCTATGACCCTGTACTATAGTACAGGGACTTTTGTCCAATTTTTGAGTAACTTTAAAAATTCATAAAAAATCTAATTTTGATTGGAAACAGCTCAAACTTGAAATACAACATAAAAACATGTATATGTATTAGAAAAAATTATAAAAATGCAAAATTCTCTTCTAGCCATTTTTGCTGAAATTTGCCTGTACAATGCTATACAGGGATTTTGGTAGCAACTTTAAAAATTCACTAAAATACAATATAGCTCAATTCATATATACATGTAAATGCAGGAGTTATTAGGCCATTGTTATTTGTCGGTACTTGACATATATTTTACTCACAATGATATAGCCTATTGTTCCAGCCTCAGCAATGTCAGTTGTAATGTCACTAATTAAGATTACTCCTTTCCTTTGGTCCTGTATCACAAGCCTCTCCAGTAGCTCATTGGGAACAACTAGCAGTAAAGAAAATGAAGAGAATACAAAGTAAACCAATTACTTGACTGTATCCTGTACTGAATAATTGGATGAGGGCATTCAGCAACTGTAGCCTAAAGAATTACAAATTTAGTCGTTTATCTTTCATATTGCTTACCTCTATTGTAATGTTTTGATCTTTTCTAATGTAAACGATTGAAGAATTCTTGTACGACAAGCTAATGGAATCTATGATGAAATTAAAGTTATAATAAAATAGCAACATTCTCGTTTCATTTTACCTCCAGTAAGTTTGCTGTAGTTGCAAGGAAGACAGAAAGTGAGGCTCACATCATCAACTGCAGCATAGGAGAGCTCAGGAGAGGGAGTGTCTACAGTTTCCATGGTAAAGAGCAATGAGCTCGTACTAACAGAGAGAGGGAAGTCTTCCGGTGGTATTTGAACATGAGTCCAACGAGTGTGGTCACCATTGGAACTAGCCCATATCAGAGACTCATTCTGGGACTCAGAAGATTCCAATCTCAGACGCACATTCTCCCGTACTTGATAATAGAAAGATATGCTGCATATGTAACTAATGCTAGGATATGCTAATAGTGTCAGTGTTTCCAGTGATGCATCATTAGGTATTGATCCTAATACGTATACACCATCAGATTGACCTCTAGCGTCACTAGTAGGTCTAGGAGAAGAGACTGTAGAGGCTAATCTTAGTGAACCTGCTGGCTCCTGTACAGTCCAACCACAAGAATCCTCTGGGGAGAGTGAGAAAGGACAACTCAATGTGTCCTGTATACCAATGAATGCTAAGGAGAATTTAAAAAATTAAATAAAAATATTTTAATATTTTGTCTGACCTGTAGTTGCCAGTTGATGAGTACCGTATTCACTGCTGACCACACCCATTACATTGTACCTCCGGCCAAATGGCAAAGTAGGAGTGACCAATACATTATCGTTGACCCCCACATTGAATGAGTAGGTAACTGGATCAAAGGATCTCCTGCGTCTTTTCAATTGATTTGATTGGACGCTTAGCATCATGTGAACGTCATGTGACCCGCCAGTGTACTCGAGGATCCATTCAATCTTAAGTGAATTATCAGACAGTCCAGTTGCATTTAAAAATGAAAGCAATGGAGCTAAAAAAGGGAAAAACAATCAAAAAACATAATACATGAATGAGTTAAATGTTCTTACGACTTGGTGTAGTAGTAAAATTGACTTCATTTGAATTGCTTTGAAAATATTCATTAGCTGAAGCTACACGAACAATATAACCAGTCCCAGGTAGCAGCTGGAATATATTTACACTTGATGCCTTGTCGTAACTATCAGTATAATAATTGACTGTTTGTATAGTTTGATAGCTCTCTTCTTTCTCTCTTTTCAGTTGAACTAGATAGCTGGTAACAGGTGAGGATATTGTGATGGTTGCTGGAGTCCATGATAAGGATATGGAGTGCTGAGAGGGTCCAAAGGTGATCCATAGCCCACCTGGAGGGGACGGCGGTTGAATGACGATAGGTAATGGTATACTGGTCACATTGCTGCCACACTGGTTGGTAATGTTACACGTGTAGAACTGAATGTCGTTAGTAGTGACTCCATTGATTGTGAGTGTGTTACCAGTGATGGTATAATGGGAAGAGGATGATATGGGTTCAAAAGAGAGAGGACTGCTCAATGATGAGCGGTACCATTTTATAGGATATATCTGAGGATTAGCAGTGTAGTTACACTGAAGATTCACAACAGAGTTCAGTGCTGGCCTTAATGGAGGAGTATGACTAACTATAACTGGGGGACCTGTAAAATACAGCATTCATAATTCATAAAAATCTTATACTTTATTCATTTACCAAATATTGACTGGTTGCACTGTATTTCACTGCTAGCGATTGCTGTTATAATAATTGTTGCTGTATCACTCATAGATGGAGTACCATGATCAGAAACTGTTACTTCTACAAGATACTCACTGGGTTCTATCGGTGAGTGCTTGGTTTCCAAATGTGCTTCCGAGTTTGATATTTGCTGCACTCGAAAGTAGTCAGTGCTTCCTTGTGTTAGGCTAAAGGATAGAGTACCATCTGGTCCCTCGTCATTATCAGTGGCCATGAGTACTTTTACAAGACTACCAACTGGTTCATAATCTGATATCATCCCAGTGTCCCTGCATACAAGGAATGAATGAATAATAGTGCTTATAGATTCAGCTTTTTCTCTTACATTTTTGGGCTAATAACAGGCCCATATTCATTGACTCCAATCACTAACACTGTTACCATTGCAACAGAGCTTGAGCCCAGTGTGCTATTAGCAGTGATGTTAAAGATGTACTCCTGCCTTTCCTCATAATCAAATACTTTTGTGGTCGCTGCAAGGACAAAGGTGCAGAAGTTAGGCAAGGCCGGAATGGATGGGAGAGCGTATAGCTTAAACTTGCTTGAAATAACTGAATCTGTTGTTGATATTTGTGCAGCAATTGCTAAAGAAAAAGGAAAATAGAACAACCAAGAATTGCAGAAAAGCAAGTGATAGTAAAGTAGTTGAAAAAAAGCACATTATTAAATTCAAAATTGTACACTTACTATTGCTGCAGTCTTGGACTATGGGCAAGCTCCCTATCAGGATATTACTCAGGTTCAGACTGATACTGCCACTCTCTGATACATGAATGATGTACTCATCTTGATTAAATACAAGTGATGGAGTGTTGGGTAGAATTAGTTGAACAGTATGATTTCTTGTTTCCCCATAGGAATCAACGATCAATATCTAATGAACAATAGCATTATAACGCATGATATTTTATGTGTGATTGTACTTACAGTAAATGATGGGGCAGCTATGCCATGCTGTATAACATCAACTAAATGTTGATGAGTGAAAATTCCTTGAACAGTATTCCCATTGATAGTGATATTATCAGCTAATGAACTAGGGAAACCTTTGGGGAAGAGACAGTTTAAAGGATTAAATGATATAAATAATTATACTAACTTACTCTTGCTAATACTGTAGGAGAATGAAGCATTGAGAGCAGAAGAAGCATTTAATGTATAACTAAAGCTGCTTCCTCCTCCTCCTACAGCTCCTTCTTGTAATGCCAAAGGGATGGAAGAAGGAGAGCTAATGATAATAGTTGGCTTTTGACGGTAATGCAATAGCCCATGTCTTTTAAAAGCAACTCCATTAGGCTGTAAAAAACCTGAATCCTGAACATATACACTCACCTACAGAAAAATTAATCATATTGAGCTGACGCCTACACTATTAATTAATAGCTTACTGTGATGAGTCCCAGAGGAACACCACCTCCTATTAAATGCTGTCCTGTTGCATTCACTCTCAGTAGCCCAGTTGTTGAATTCAAGTGAAATATTGATGCCAACCCAGTGATGTTATCTACATGCAAAAATTGAAAAAAGGATGAAATTAATATTTTCATTACTTGAATCAAGAGTGTATATAAAAGGACCATCAGTACAGATTGGAGAAATAGCTGTGAACTGAACTGTATTAATGTTTCCAATGGTTATATCAAGGAAAGAAGGATGAGAGAGAATGAGATTCCCTTGATTGCTCAGCAAACTGAAATCACACGGGAGATCAAATGTTAACTCAATATCATCAAGTGCTAAGAAAGGCTCTCTCTCAATTGGTGCTTCTCCGATTTCTCCTCCAATTGACGGTGATATAAACAGTACGTTACCATCAGGATAAGGAGTGGAGAATTCAATATTAGCTCGTTCCCATGTCACAGTTTCATTCCCATTCCAGGAGTAGTTTGAAATAATATCAAAACTAGTGACATGAGACTGAAGGATTTGAAGACTCTGGGGTCCAACCATGTAGAACGAAAAACTCAATCCAGCGATGAATTTCTGAGTCGGATAAGATAGGAGGAGTGCCTGGTTGAAGTAGTTGATTGATTTTACATAGTAGAAATATGAGCCTGCAAATCATAAGTGAAATGATGATAAGATGAAAACAAAAACATTATGATTTAGATTAAAATGCTCTACCATTTTCAGTTCCAGGGTTGTAATCTGTGAGTGGGCGATCAGGGTTCCCCTGCCTTGCAGCTCCAGCAGTTGATACTCCAAAGGAGCCTTGCCCCTCCGTTACTTGTTCCTCCCACCCCAACACACCATCACTGGCAGTGCAATACACGCTTGCTCCAGGTGCTACTGGGGATTCAAAGTTGCACGACTGCTTTGCAGTGAAACCTAGCAATAGTGAAGCATGCATTGGTACTTGAAACTATAAGATTGTGCATGAAATTAAAATTACCTTAAAATTGTAATAATAATTAGCTGTAATGATAATGATTAGCTTACTTGATAGGACTTCAGTTTGCAAAGTTGCTATAATCAAAATTATCAGACAGACACTGAACAAGGAGGAGATAGCAGCCATTCTGTTTTTAGAAGCACCTGATTTCCACCCCTTCTCTAAACAAGGGGTGGAAGTTTGAGCTGCAACTGCAAGGTTATAGATAAGAAAAAGGAGGGAGTAACTATTGCATATGGTGACCTGTTGCAATCAGTAATATTATAGCTATGAATAATTAATTGATCAGAACCATTATTAATAAAGGCTATCACGAATAATTAATTTAGCTTAAGCCCTAGTTTTCGGAAAAATTCACCGTATAACACTCCGTATTTATAATTATTGTCAAAGTAACGTTTAGTTTAGTAAAGAAAGGGCGATTGCAAGAAGCAAGCATGAGCGAGAAAGAGAAGGATTCTCACACAAAAGAAGAGTTAGAGGAGGAAGATTATGACGACATACCCGATCTGGAGAGCGTTGAGAGTTCAGAGGTACAGTTTTATGAAGTTATACACGAGATTATACACTTCCTTTGCATAGTATTGTGATTCTGATGATGATCCTACCTTGAATTCACCAGTGCCAGAGATAAAGGAACTAAACTCGCCTAACTGTAAGACCCACACATTGACACATCCCATATAACAAATTTACGTGACTTCTTTCTAGTTGTCATTGCAAAAGCTTGTCTGAATATGGCTGGTGGTTTCGACAGCGTTTTTAAAGAGTTTGAAGTCCTCATGATCTACACATACACTCCTTTCCTCTATGGTGAACACATAGATACTGCTTACTGGGACAGACAGGTACACCATGTACATGTACGCATGTACAAGTATGGTTTTGTGGTGTGTCTTTCTTTTGTATGTCTTTTGACATGCCAAGTTACACATCTGTAGTTCCTTTTAAAATATTAATTATATTTTATTGATAGTATTAACGTGCATGTACGTATTATTATTAATTAATGCTTTTTTTGTGGTCTCATTAAATTTCGTTTGTTATTAGTGGTTTGGATTGTTCAGGAAAGCAAACTTAATCTCTGAAAGGTTAGTACATTTTTCCTCTTCCCCCCTCTCATGCATACACACTCTCTCCCTCACTCTTCCCTCTCTCTCCTCTCCCCCCTCTCATACACACTCTCCCTCTCTCTCCTCTCCTCTCCTCCCTGTTCTTCTGTATGACGTGGGTGGGTGGTCTACTGCATGTATCCATGTTTAATCTCCATATATGGAAGTGCTAAGAATGCTCTGTTGTTGATTATGAAATAGTGATTAAATGAATTCATTTTGTTTACTTTTATAGACCGTATAATCTTGACCACCTGTTCATCAGGGACTTCAGAGTCCTCGAGATACTCGGACTGACCCTTGACTGGTGTTGGGCTCATTTTGTAAGTATAATTAGTTGGCGTGGCTTAAACATGTCACATGATTGTCACATGACAGGGCCCAATGCTGGACGCAGTGTATCTTACTACATTGTTGGACTTTTGGTCAAGCGTCGGTGATAATAAAGACTTTTCAAAAGTGGTGGATTATGCTAAAAGCTTAAAGTGGTTTAATGAAATGTAAGAGAGAGGAATAGAGAAAAGAAAAAATAAAATATTGAGAATTTTATTCTCTTTCTCTCTCTCTCTCTCTCTCTCTCTCTGTTTCTCAGACTAAATCACATTGAATCTCAACCTAATGATCTTGGATTGAATAATTCAGAATTCAAGGATTATCCTCATACAGTTGAGCTCTGTGTCATTTATGCTATCTGTCATGGTAAGGCTATATTATAAAGAATTAAAGAAATTTATTATGATTATAAATAATGATTTTATTTATGCTTTGCTTGTTGGTTTACATGTAAATGTATATTGCATCTGGAAAGTCCCATATGTGCATGTATACAATGTGTTTCCTGGAAATCTAGAAGTTTCTGGGAATTTCATAATCATGAATATAGTTTGCTAAGTAATGATTGCTATTACTTGAGTAATGGTGTATTATGATGAAGCCACACATCAAATAAACAGACCGCCCATATTGCAACATACAAGTATTAATGTATAGTTAAAATTAAACTTAAACGGAAACAGCTCAAACTTGATATACAACATAAGTACATGTATCAGAAAAAAATTATTAAAATGTAGATTTCTCTCCTTGTGATTTTTGTTGAAAATACCCTGTACTATATAGTATGGGGTCTAACTGGGTATTACAATCCACTGGCAAGAAGGTGCATGAGCCAAAATCCTGTAGGAAACTTATGGCACTTTGCTTATCTTGACACCTCTTTCTCTCTCTCCTTTCCCTCTCTCTCTTGCTATTATAGTAAGTTACCAGATAATAGCTAAACATGGTGCAAGGCATACATTCAAGACAGACTTTGACTCAAGGACACGAATAGCCAGTGGAGTGTATTCCAGCGAGATACAGCACAGTCTGGAGAGAGCTGAGATATCATTCCTTGTACTAGAAAGAGTTGAATATCTAAATCAATACAGGACTGCCCTAAGACTCAGGTATTAAATAATTAATAGATCAAAAACTTGACATATTTTAGCCTCCTCTTTTAACTGTTCTTTTCTCTCTCTCTCTCTCTCTCCAGTCCTTTTGACAAGACAATCTACGAGAGCAGGCTTCAAGCTCAAATACTTGGTGCCCATTACATGTAAGTTTATTGTATAGCCACACCCATTTATATCTCTTCATAGGGACGCTGCCTCGGACAGTATGAGGCTACTGTGTCTTCAGAAAAATCACAGAGAAGTAAGGAAGAGAGTGGTTGTGTGTCACATTATTATTGTACATGTCACAGGCTCACATGTGTTTGATAAAGTCCCTGCATGAACTCCATGAAGATACTAGGGCTAACATAGCTAGGGAAAAGTATTTCCAATTGTTCAAAATGTCATCCGATAGGACGAGACTGGAAAGATTCTTAATTACAAAAGGTAAAAATGAAAGAGAGAGAGAGAGAGGAGGGAATGACATGAATTTTACTTTGTCTGTTTTTGTTATTCTACTTTAGAGTGTGATATCCCAATTGTCAGATCAGTAGTAAGTATATATAATCTATGCATACATGTACATGTATACATACTGTACATTTATTTATTTTTATCAATTGTTTATTTATTCATTCCATTCACTATAGCACACAGATTCCAGCCATTTAGACTATAAATGCTTAGTAGAATTAAGCAAAGTGGTTAGTACATACTGTACACGTACATTGCATATTGTACATGTATTAATAGTAGCACTATGTGTGTATGTATTTATACAATGTACATGTACATGTACATGTATATACTGTACTTTTAACAAACAGTTATGCCACACACACACACACACACACACACACACACATATTCACACGTATATAACATTATTTTATTTCTGTAATTTATTTATTTAATAGTATGTTGAAGTTCACAAAAAAACTTATAATCCCTTTCTCTTCCTAGGGTACTAGCTATTACCACAAAGGTGAATATGACGATGCTCATATTGCATTCGGTATATGTATAAAGAATGCACGCGATAAAGCATTGGTGAGTGTACGTACATGTACAACAATACATGTACATTCTCTTTCTTTATCATGTATCCACTTGTTTTCTTTTTCTCTATGTAGTGGAGATATTCAGTGTCCTGGAGAGAAGGCCTGAGGTTCCTAATAGCCGTCCAGTATTGCTATGCGCAGTCTTTGTTCAATATGGGCAAGTGTCTCGCTGCTATCGATACCTTCCTTAAGCTCCGTCGCTATCACATGATCTATCCCTTTCCAGCTGCACACTTGTCCTGTGCCATGTACTATGTGAAACAGAACAGGTGAGTAATACTAAATGTGTTGCATACATTCTAGCATTTCAATAGTATCCAAGTAATATCCTATTAATATCCTAATAATATTCTAATAATATCATGATAATATCCTAATAGGTATGCAGACGCAATGCAGTATGTTAACAGTGGTCTCAAAGTGTGTGACTCGTTTGAGCCTCACGAGTTCTCCGTGCTGTACTGGCCTGGAACCAACCTTCTATTGAAGGAATGTCAGCCTCAGAATGCCAAGGTATAGGAACGGGAGTATGAGTATGGAAATATGGAGTTTTGTGTTGTGTAGATAAAACTGATCCAGCTTAGAGCAGATATATTGAAAGAGATGGAGCCATTGGCTAACTGTCAGTATTCACAGTGTTTGAATTATAACATGGAGGCTAAGCTGAAGCAGGAGGGAGAAGGTATACTTGTATAACTTGTAAAAATAATATTTCACTCTTCACTGTCTCTCTCTCTCCCTCTCCCTCCTTCCCTCGTTAGAGTATAAAGGACAGTATGTGTTGAAGTGTACCAGGAGATGTTTCATTCCGTTTCATCCAACTTGTTGGACAAAGCAAAAAAACTCACTTTGCTTTCCTGACGATAGATCAGTCATATCAGAGTGTTGCTTGAAACCAGACTGTAAAGGGAAGATAACACATGTCATAGAATATGACCACATGGACAAAATAAAGGTATTAATATTATACTTTATTATCATTATTGACTATTTATTATTATTTTTATAGACTGAAGTAACTGTACATGATTTTAATGGAGATGTGAAGAAGAGGAAAGAAGACGACCCTACTCCATTGTCAAACTCACTGCCGTCAGAGACTAACAGCAAGACAGACAAAGGGACTGAGAATTCTAAAGGAGAGGACACTAGCCCTCCAGTTGAACAAGAGCCGAAACCAATCAAAGAGGAAGCAAAACAGGTTTGACCAGTTATTATTGCAAGGTTATGAGTTGATGATTTCTATTTTAGACTTGTAATGGAATTGAAGCTAGAAATGGTGAGTTGTAGGCTCCTCTCTGTTTGTGACCTTTGACCCTTGATCTTTAGGTAAAGAGAATGTAAAGGTAACTGATAGACAATCGGAAGAGAAAGAAACCAAACCAAAATCAAGAAAGAAGAAGAAATCAAAGCAACAAAAGGAGGTACGTGTTATCTAGTGTTCTAAATTTAGTAACAGCATGCTATATTTAGTAACATTATTACTTTATGTATTTGATAGGAGGAGGCTCCAAAGGTGAATAATTTAGGTTATGCTCCTTTTGTCATGCCAGATAAGAATATAGTGTTTAGGAACAGAATCGAAAAAGACAGAGAATTAGCGTATGTACATGTACACGTTACGGTTGTTTCTAATTTTTCTTTCATTGTAGTGCTATGAGGGAGTCTGATCCAGCTGCTACAGTTACTGTCCCTAAACACCGTCTGAGAGAGAGAGTGAGGCATTTCGAAGGTAAGGACATGGACTCGAAACCAGATCTGCCATTGAACGTTGAGATAGATGATTCACAGATATACAACTTCATTGTGAGGTAACTGGCAGAGAAAATAAGAATATGATGTGTGCATGTACACATGTATCATGTGTGTTTGCTTCTGTTACTGTGTTTTCATTTTACAAGTTACAGCAATGAATGTCAAAGTCTCATGACTATTTTAAAACTTAGCATGTACAGCTCATGTATTGTAAAACTTATGATATTTCTTTTTATTTATTTTTCCATACTCCCCTGATCCTGGCCCAGCTATTACGAGGGGATATTTAAAGAGCATGGGCCACTTGAACCAATGGATGCCATACTCTCTGATAGCCTTCAGAACTTCAAAGGAAAGAAGGAGTTTGAGAGAGTCCTCTCGCATCATGGCGGGCTAGGAGACTTCCTGCTTAGTTTGCCTAACTTCAAGAGAGTTGAGAGTGGTACAGGGAAGACATTGATTGGGCTTGAAGAGAAGCCTGATGATAAAGGAGAGACAGGACTTGAAAGGAAGACTCCTACTGAAGAAGACAAGCCTCCCAATGGAGACCAGAGTAGTAGTAGCAATGAAGCAAAGGGAGATGATGATAGTAAGAGTGATGAAAGTAACACTCATTCTTCAGATTCCAGCTCTAATGAACACAAAGACAATGCTACAGCAGATACTATAGACACTCTCTCAAAGGATAATGCTCCCTCCGATATAGATACAGTGGATAGTGCTATCGGTGTAACGGAAGGGGTTACTGGTATAACGGAAGGTGCTACTGGTATAACGGAAGGTGCTACTGGTGTAATGGACGATAATACTGGTACTGTATCAGGAGATGTTGATACTACTGGTGTACAAGTAGGAGACATCGAGTCAGAGATAAGAACTAGCCCAGAGACAAATGGAGGAACAGCCACTACAGAAGAAGTGGACACATCAGGCAATGATACGACCACTGGACCAGCTGTTGAACAATCAACCACTACACCCGAGAAACCTGTGATAGAAGAAACCGACGGTAATATAGAACCTGAACCTCCTGAACCAGACACTCCAAATGAAGATGAGGGGACCAAAGACAATGATAAAGCTACAGAGTCTAAAACTGGGGATGATGATACACCAGCTGCTAAAGAAGTAAAGGAAAAGAAGAAAAAGAAAAATGATAAATTCATTATCGGAGGAGCAAAGGCTTTGAGAGAAGAGCAGCCTGCAATACAACACGTGGGAATAGAACCACACCAGCATGTGGGAATAGGACCACATGATGTAGCTCCCATTAGAATAGGCTGCACTCATGCTCCTGTGTCCCCTCCTCCACCGCCTGAAATAATACAAGTGGAGAAAAAGACTGAAGTTCATAGTGTAGAGAAAGAAGAGGAAGATGAAGAAGAAGAAGAAGAAGAGAAGGCCGGCAGTAGTGATAAGTCAACCCAGTCCTCTATACTTGATACCAGGCAGACTGAGACACAGACTGAGACTCTAGTAGTGAGGACACTAGGGATCAATACTGACCCAATGCCGGTTGTAAAGACTTATAAAGAGAATTATGAGGAGGTGAAGGAAGCATATGAGAAGCTTTTAAAGGAGAAGAAGAGTCTTGAATCAAAGTTGAATGTGAGCGAAGACACTAAAGTCAAAATGCAGAGACAGCATTCAAGAGAACTGGATAAAAATGTTAAGAAAGCTCAGAGCGAAATGAGAAAAGTAAGAATGAGAGTCTCTTGTGTTTTTATATCCTTTCTTGTCTTTTCTTCTTCTCACCTGCACAATCTTGATTTTGTATTTCTCCCTCCCTCCCCCCCCCTCTCTCTCTCTCTCTCTCTCTCTCTCTCTCTCTTTCTCTCTCTTTAGGAAATGGAGTCAAAGTTACATCACAATGAAGAGCTACTCAAGTCAGAGAGGGACAAGCTCCAGAGGGAGAGAAGAGAGAGCAGCGAACAGATCAAGACATTGAAGGCAGACAATAAACAGCTTCAGGATAAACTGAACAAGTACAGTCACTACATAATAATAATAACAATAATAATAATAATAATAATAATAATAATAATAATAATAATAATAATAATAATAATAATAATAATAATCCTGTCCCTATCTTTTTTCTCCCCTTTCTTTCCTCCTCAGACTTAAGAAAGATATGCAAAAGAAAGATAAAGAAAAACAAGATGCCTCTAAAGCTTTCCAAGATGAAAAGTATGCAGTATCTATTGGTAATGGGACTGACTTATAATCCACTGATGCAGGGAAGAAACAGCAAAGAAACTTGCTTCACTTGAAGAACACTATCAGAGTCTCATTGAGGCCTCAAAAAAGAGAGCAATAGAGTCTGAAGTACGTTTACTGATCGAACGTAAAGAAACCTTCATTAAGCCAACCGAACAAAGACTACAAGAACTTGATAGATTATGGTAAGCCTATAGGCATGGAGCATAATGTGTATTAATTGTTTTAATAGTAAATTTGCATCACAAGCAATGCCAGGAGTAGAGACTGAGCTGGTAGCTTATAGGGAGCAAGTGAAGGCATCATTGGATACATTCAAGGTGAATATATAGCAATATGGCAGTCACATGAACTTGATTCTCTCTTCCCCCCTCTCTCTCTCTTCTCCAGAGCTCAATTGATGATCAAGTTAGTAAATTGAACAAGAAAGGAGCCGAGTTGAATGATTTAGAACCAGTCAATCCGCCACTGTCACACATGTCACCACAACTAAAAATGGTGAGTTGATTAGTACATTCACTGTAATATCAACATCCAACCTTCTTTTCATAGAAAACCCAGCTGGTTCAGAGATCTTTATTTGCATCACTCCAGCGTGGTGGAGGAGTACCTGGTCTACAGCCTTCAGGAATACAGCAACCACCAGGAATCCAACCACCAGCTATGCACACACCTCAAGAACCTCCCCCACCTCCAGTCTCAATGGTAGATCAAAACATGAAGACAGGTACAGAGATAAGCAATGTTTGTTATTATTATTTATTATTTTATTTTAATTTATTTTACAGGAGGGAGTGAAGGAGGGAGTGGATCAGATAATGTATTGACATTTCCAAGTGCAAATCCTGAATCACATTCCCATGTACAGATTGGTAGTGGTTTTGGAATGAATAGTGCTACTAGTAACAGTGGTATGGGTGGTGGTATGGGTCCCAGTTTATCAGGATTGGAGCAGACTGGTATGGGAATGAATCAGACAGGCATGGGAATGAATCAGCCTGGTATGGGAATGGGACCCAGTCAGATGAGAATGGGACCTGGTCAAACTAATGGTCAAAGTAGCATGGGAATGAACCAAAATAGTATGGGAATGGGTCCAGCTATGAATCAGGCAGGAATGAGTATTGATCAAGGTAGTATGGGAATGGGTTTCAATCAGACCAGTTCCAGTGGAATGGGAATGAGTCTCGGTGGCCAAACTGGAATAGAAACTGGAATGAATTTTAGTCAAGCTCCCAACCAGCCTGACATGGGGATGGGAATGGGTCTGAGTCAAGTAGGAATGGGAATGAATCAGTTCGGAATGGGAATGAACCTGCCTCAAGGTGGAATGGGAATGGGTCAATCTGCTATGAACATGGATCACTCTAGAATGGGAATGGGTTCTATTGGAACGGGAATGGGACCTGGAAGTTTAGGAATGGGTCATGTAGGAACAGGAATGGGTAAAGCAGGCTCATTCAGTGGAGGAATGAGTATGAATCCACCACAAGTATCAGCGTCTAATCAGAATCCTTCAATGCAGCCTCCACCAGCTAGTCAAGGAGGAGGAGCTAAACCAAACTCTGAGAGGAGAAATTTTGATCAGCTGGTATCTAAACTCTCTCCACATTATCCTCACTATTCGAGGTAGATAGAAAGACAATAGTACTGTTCATTTTTAATGTAATGTACACTGTATACTATAGGGAGGATTTCAAGAGAGCCGTTTTAGAACTGAGAAAGAACATAAGTCTCACTGGCCTGCCACTAGATGATGTCATTCAGAAAGTAAATGAACAATAGTAGTATCATTATTATTATTGTTAATATGCTACTTGATATAACTGTATTAGGTAAGAGAAGTTATAAATGAGAAAGAAATGAGTAGAATGAATCCACCTCAAGTTCCTTCATCATTGTCTCAAATGACACCAAGTGATGGTTTTCCATTCTCTCAGCAACCTCTGATGAATCAGGTATACAATAACCTAATAATAACCTAATCATTATAATTATAATTATAATGAACTCAGTATAATAAAAGGCTATTATTCTAATTTTAATTTTCTTTCATGTACAGGGGGGCTCCATGTTTCGTCCTAATATCCTGCAGCAGCCATCTCCTATGCAATCTCCTCCATTGCCAGTTCGTCATTTACAGCAACACCAGCAGCAGCAGTGGGCACAGCATCAAGCCCAAAAACAGCATCAAATGCAGGCACTCCAGCAACAGCATCAGCAAATGCAGCAGCACCAACAGCAGTTGCAGCAGCAGCTTCAATCCCAGCAGCATCATCATCACATGGAGTACAATGATGATAACAATTGTATCATATGCTATGAGGATATGGCCCCTAGTGATTCTATTGCATTGGACTGTAGGCACAGATTCCATAGTCATGTGAGCTTCTGATAGATACCCTCTATCTAATACATTTATGTAGTCTTGGTTGTGATTTTGTCTGATCCTTTTTCTTTTATTTTCTTTTCTTCATTAGTGTATTCGTTCGTGGTTGAAGGAACAGAAAACGTGCCCAACGTGTCGTAAATATGCTTTACTCAAGGACGAGTTCCCATTCCTTAATTAAGAAACTTCTAACGCTAACCTAAATATTGTATACGTTTAGTTTTTTTGACTCCCTATAATTAATTGTGCTGAGTAGTTTAATGACTTATAATAGTGTAAGTCTACTGCTACTATTATTATGAATAAATAAAGAGAAAATTAATTTTAACAATAAGTTCTTTTTTGATCATTGTTTAGTAATGTATTCTCTAAAATTGATTCCTAAAAAAGAGAAAAAAATAAGATAGAGTGAGAGTAAAGATGATTTGCATACCCACTATTGAGTGATCACTTGATTTGGTTATTATTCCATTTTCAACTAGCATTGTCTCCTAATAAGAAACTCGTGTCAGTTACCACTATACACTACTCACTGTACCTCTCCAATCGTTACGTTAAACTTTGGTGTCTTGTCCCAGATCCACTGTACACTTCTAAATTCTTTTTCCAGTTCACTTATGCCTGGAAAGAGAGGCGAAGGAGATCCAGTGGGTGAGAATGGCTCTATATCAACCATCTGTACATAAAATATAATAATAATAGTAACATTAAAGATCAGTCTTTTACTTGGTGATGTCTTTTGTCTTTCAAGTCGTGCAACTCATAAAATTGAGCAGCTATTGCTTTGCATATGTCATCGTATTGCATCTTGTTCTCTTTCAGTAAGGTTTTTATATTAAGAGTCTCTGATGGGATACTCTGTGTGGCAGTCGTTGATGCAAAACTAAACTAAAAAAAATTAAAAATTCCAAATTATGTTAATTCTCCCATCTCAGCACCATAGGGTGAGGTTGTAAAATGGTATCCAACATCACTTTATCAGTGTCAATCAGTAAAGTGAAGTGGTGATAGGTGTGATCTTTACCGACGCGTGCGGCACTGCCTGATACCTATTGGGTGTGGTTTAAGGCGACCTTTATCGACTGACCTTTTTCCCTTTGCATAATATGTCGTTTCGCTGTCCGACGTACAGCCTAACCCCCCAATTATTGTTAACAGCATCAGCGACAAGTTGGAGGTTACGGTGTCTGTTGTAGTCCAATTTATGAGCAAAGAATGTGCAGTTGAGGTTACCCATATCCTGTATTAATGTACATATGTCATATGCAGGGTTTCCCACAGGATTTTGGCATAATGCCCAGTACATTTTTAATTAGAAAAAAACATCATTTATTGTATAGTACAGCTAGGAGAGATTTTTCTATTTAAAAAATTTTTCTTAATACATATACGCATATTTATGCTGTGTAGAAAGTTTTGAGTTGATTCCGATCAAGTTTGGATTTTTTTACAAATTTTTGAAGTTGCTAAAAAATCAGGCCAAAGTCCCCGTACTCTAGTACATGGTCTTGGGCCAAATTTCGCCAAAATTGAAAAGTAGAGAATTCTTCATTTTTACAATTTTTCCTGATGCATATACATGTACTTATATTGTGTAGAAAGTTTGAGCTGATTCTGATCAAAATTGAATTTTTTATTTATTTTTAAAGTTGCTCCAAAAGCCATGTGTTCAGACTAGCATAACCCTGGTCATGTCATGTGACTATCAGTCATGTGACACTTACATGATACACTGCTCCACCCCCTGACCTCCGCCTTGCCATTTTTGTACCCGTTGATCTCAATTTTTCAAAATCTGCCTCCATCCAAGGGTTCTGAAAATGTTTAAGATTCTAACAAATTAAGAACCCCCATTTTACCTGAAACCTTCCCACTACAACCTATACACAGAAAATGACATCGCCTGACATCAAAGGATAATTATGTAATTTTAGAACTCACACTTGGCTCGTTTCTCCATAGCAACAGGACACGCCTACCAAGATAGGAGACGTTGTCAAGGAGCCATGTTTCAAGAGCAAGATTAGCATAAATGTTATTGGATAAAGACCTGTACACAATAACCTGTCACAGAATAAATAGAAATAATAATGACACAATCAGATAAGCATATACCTCCTTCACTGGTTTATTCAGCCATTGACTCATTCTATTGATATTTTAATTTTTAATTGACACTAATTACATAACATCTGTAACTATAGAAACAAACCACAGAGTATATACAGGACCAACATAAAAACTAAATAATAAGAAAAAATTATTAAATAATAATAACATTATTTTTTTTAGTTCCACAGAAACATTGATAATAATGCTGAAAATATCTCATCATTAAAGTCGTCAACTTGACGACTTCTTTGATTGGCTCTCTGCATTCTGTTCTGTTTCAACTTTTCATAGTCCGAGCGATGGACGGTCCTACGACTGGACCTACTTTGATAAAACCTCTCCGTCGTATTAATAATCCTTCTATAAAGGTTCCCTGCCTGTTGTACGACAAGAAAGTTCCTCGGGCCACTACTAAGGTTCCTAAAATCAGCAGTATTCAATTGATACCACATAAACGTAAAACGCTGTCCATCTGTGATTATTGCTTGAGCACATTCCGGTTCCGGCAATATTCCCAGACCCCCGAGGCCACCAGTAGGACCAACTTTAGCTCTAGCTTGTTCTAGGAGAAGACCGTGAAGAGAAAGAGTGGCCCTTTGTATGAGCTGGTCTTCGTCAAGCCGTAGATCATCAATGAAGACTAGAGTATGAATGTAAGGAAAATTAAAAGAGGAGATGGGGATAGGGGGACTAATTTGAACTTGAGATTTGTTTAAACTTAACAGTATCCTTTTCTTGCCCATTTCGTCTAATTCCTTCTCGGTCCATCCTAACGAATTCTCCAGGATATCAACTTCATCTGAATTAAAGAATGGCCCAAATGGTTTCTTGGATTTCACAAGAGTACCCTGAAATTTCCCACGTACACCTACAAGAGGTCCATCCATTAGCTGCCAGGTGCTATCAACTGGAGGGTTGCCAATAAAGTGAAGGTTTTTAAGACTATCTAGATCCTCTTCCTTCGCTAGGCTCAGGAGGTTTTTTATAATGTTTGCAAAAAGATTGAACTGGTAACCGGCCGCGGGATGGCCCTCGTCCTCGTTATCGTCTTTGACATCTTTGCTTATCTCCCTCTCAAAGTTACGGGCATATATGATACTGTTGCAAATGGCTTCCTTCCAGATAGAAGGGTCCAGCCTGTAGTCGGAGTATTCAGAAAAAGCTTTAGGAGGATCTCTGAGGAGTCGAGATTTTGTTAGGGCGAGAACTTGCTGCTTAGGATAAGGGATCCTAACTGCTGGGTGGGAGATATAGGCCTCGAAACTCTCCATAGATGAGACAGAACGAGAGAAAATGGAAGATAAAAACAGGGACCTCTTGGCAGCCATATTATTATTGACCAATGGTGAGCACGTGGGTGGTTGGGTGGATTTATAAATTTTAAGAAAAATTTTAACCCCCGGATCGGGGGGAGGTAATGGGCGGAGTCACTTGGTTACGTCACATGATAAAATTATACTTGCTGTCCATGTGGAGGCCGGGGAGAATAGGATAACGGGAAGACGGTTGTATTGAGTCTTTTGAGTGCCTGTCCTCCTCTGACTGGAGACTATTGACGTTCCTCGAAGATAGAGAGGGCTTCCCCGCTCGCCCACTGACAATAAAAGAGGAACGAGAGAAGGAAGACGAGGAAAGAGTAAAAATAATCATTTAATTAAGGACCACTCTCCGCCCTACTACTAAACGAATGAAAAGCTCTCGACGTAAGACAAAAGAGACAGCAAGCCCTCTGTAAAGCAAAGGATACTATCTAGCATCTACTTATAAGTATCTGACCAAAATGGCTGACAGTAACCTAATGGAAGGTAATGGAGGCCCAGAGAGTGTCTTTCGATCTGTTGCTGATGCCGAAGTGAGCCTTGACGAGATGCTAAGTCTAGCCTGTAGACAAGGAAAACAAGATATAGTGGAGCTCCTCCTTGAAAGCGGAGCCAAAGTGAACTATCGCAACAAAGCCGGGAACACGCCTCTTTTAGAAGCATGCAGCCAAGGTCATGTGAATATAGCCTGTCTATTACTCGAACGAAATGCTGATATTGATGCCCCCACGGAGACCACGTCTGATAGTGCCCTCACGTGGGCGTGTACCCTTGGGAATGAGGAAATTGTTCAGCTCCTCCTGGAGCACAAGGCCTCCATTGAACATCGTACGCGGGATGGGTGTACCGCCCTCATGTTTGCTGCGCTCGCCGGCCACGAGAATGTCGCTCGGCTCCTCCTCGATCACGGTGCCAAGCTAAACGTTGAGAGCGACAGCAACAAGGACAGTCCTTTGACGTTTGCCTGTTGGAAAGGACACCAAAGGGTCGTCGAGCTATTCCTGGCCCACAAGGCTAACATTGAACACCGCACTAAAGAAGGTTTTAGTCCACTTATGTTTGCTGCGCTAGGCGGACACACTGAAGTAGCCCGGTTGTTATTAGAGAAAAAGGCCGAAGTGAACAATCCTAGCGGAAGTAATAACGATATACCATTGACGAGTGCCTGCTGGAAGGGGCACCATGCTGTAGTTGAGCTTCTCTTACAGTATAATTCCAACATTGAGCATCACACGAAAGATGGCTGTACTCCATTAATGCTAGCAGCTAGGTATGTAGTGTTTAATGCCTTTCTCCTTTTTGTTTTTTCTGTCTCATTCTTTTCATGTCTATTCTCTTTCATCCCTTTCTTTCTGCTCCATGTACATGTACTGTATCTCTCCTCCTCTACTTAGTTTTGTTATCATTTCCTGTCCTCACAGTCCACCCTCAAGATTATGAATATTATCAGATTACACAACTCCCTCTCTCTCTCTTTGTTCCCATAAAAAGGGACCTCTTCTATAACCCAATTTGTGTGTGTGTGTTTGCATGACTTGTTTATATTATCCACGCTTCTTTAACAGTTGAAGTAATGATGTACTGTTCCATAAACCGTCCCAACTGTTTATTTGGGATAAAGTACAAGTGCCCCCTCCTCCTCCTCCTCCTTTCTCTCTCTCTCTCTTTCTGTTTAACATTCTTCATCATCATAAGTGTCCCTATATTTTATAAAATGTACATTAGCTCACTCTCTGTGTATACACGTACACATGTACAGTACATGGTCTGTTTGTCTGTGTGTATGTATGTACATGTACATGTATGTACAGTATAGCTTTGTTGTTTGTCTATGTATGCGTACGATGTTTACTGTGTGATCCTGACTCACTCACTGTACCACCTGTATTAATTTCCTTCTTGTCTGACTCATTATTTTCAGTTACCTTTTCAGCTTTCTTCCCATTCCTTCTCCTCTCCCTTCTCTCCCCCTCCTCCTCAATTTATTTTTAAACTGGTATTTTATCTCTCTTGTCTCCAGGGAGGGACATTTATCAGTTGCCCAGCTGCTACTCAATCACAATGCTAAGGTCAACGTGCCCTCTGGCAGTGAGAACAATATACCACTGACACTGGCTTGCTGGAAAGGTAAGGAGAGAGAGAGAGAGAGAGAGAGAAAGTAGAGGCCATACATGTACATCGTACACTGTGTCATGTAATTGTACTATAAGCAATTTTATTGTTTAATAGCCTTTTTGCTTTCTTGTTATGTTGTGTGTTTTCCCTTGGAAGTTATTCATCTTGTGACTAGCCTAGTTCCACTTGTTGTTCCACTTCCTCTTCTTTGACTATCATAATCTAACCTTCACTTGCTAAATATTTACCATTGTTATCTGTTAATGCTCTAATAGGTCACAGGGATGTCGTGGAGCTACTACTACAATATAACTCCAACATTGAGCACCAGAACAAAGCTGGGTGTACCCCTTTGATGCTAGCTGCCAGGTAAGAGGAAGAAGGATAATGTGTGTGCATCAAAATTGCCTTATTAGTGATGGGTGACAATTGTACATGTTTTAGTGGTTTCTATAAATGTCATAATAATAAACTCACACACACACACACACATAAGTCAGGCACATGGTGACCATGTGCTTTTGACACACAAAGCCCACACAAGCCTCCATTCAGGAGCATATTTGAGCTGTTCAAGGTCTATAGACTATGTGTATTTGATAAATAGGCATTGAAAGGAGGTTTGAATGTTGTATTAATGAAAAGGAGGGATAAGGTGTTGGGCTTGCAGCTGGTGTTAATGAATTAGGTTTTTGGGTATTTTGGCACATTAGCACTAAACAGTGTACATGCTCACTATGCTACTGTATACTGATTGATTGGAACACTTTGTAATGTGAGCAGTGATGGTTTATACTTTCGTTCTCCTGATGGTCACATGACCGTCATGTGATGAGACAGATCATATACTGAGCTCACATTAAACATTACATCATTTACATGTAACTATACATGGATGTACATGTATTATTACTGAACATGTACATGTATATGAGAAAGATAATCTCAACTTGTTTCTTTTTCTCTCTTTTTAGAGAGGGTCACTTTGAAGCTACCGATTTATTACTTGACTGTCACGCCCAACTCAACGTGCCCTCCGGCAGCAACGATGACACTCCCCTCACTCTCGCTTGTTGGAAAGGACACGAGGGTGTGGTCGGACTCCTACTGGAGAAACAATCCTCCATTAACCACCAAACGAAGACTGGGTGCACTCCCCTAATGGAAGCAACCAGGTTAGTGGATATAGTAGTGCTATTAGTTGTTTGTTTGTTATGAGAGCATCCTTGTTGATTCGATAAGTTATGCTTGCATCAGTTTGTATCAGTAAAATATTTATTATTTTGTCTATACTCGTGATTCTCTCAAATTCAGTTTTACGAATCGCAGACTTTACAAAGCCATCTATAATAATAATAAAATAATAAATATAATAATAATAAAATATAATGAAATAATAGTGCCTTTGTTTTGTCAATTATAGGGAAGGACATGTAGGCGTGGCTAGAATGTTACTAGAAGCTGGAGCTGATGTAGAGACTCCTGATAATTATGGACAGACACCGTTCTTCATGGCCTGCTGGAAAGGACATGCTGAAGTTGCTAGCCTGTTGCTTGAATACGGAGCAAATAAAGACTGTAGGACCAAGACTGGCATTACTCCTTTCTTTCAGGCTTGCAGGGAGAATCACGTTGAAGTTGTGAAACTGCTCCTGGACTATGGGTGTAATCCTAGCTCACCTTTCCCTAACAGCAGGTGAGAAAGGAGAGAGAGGGGGGAGAGAGAGGGGGAAAGAGAGAGAGGGGGGAGAGAGGGGGAGAGAGAGAGGGGGGAGGATACAGTTCACATGTTCATGGCAGGAAGTGTTAATTCTGTGTTTTATTCCTAGGGAGTGTCCATTGACATTGGCAGCTGAGAAAGGATTCACTGAACTAACTCAAGTCCTCATATCAAGGTAGAGTACATTATATATTACTTATAAGGGAGGGGAAAGAAGCTATGATTTACAGCTGCCTTGGTATATTAGTTTGCAGTCTGATTGCTTTGTTTGTAGCACTAAACTGTGATGATTTAATTCATTGTTCCATTGCTGAACTATTAATATGAGGATCACATGATTCCCCTACTGAGTTTAGTGTATCTACATGTGCATAATGTCTCATCAACTGTTTATTGATTGAGAATAGCACATGTATATTATTTAGACTGTTATATCATTTAGACTGTTATTGTCCTTTAAATATTTTAATTTCCTAAATTATTCTTTCTCTCTCTCTCAGGAATGCTAACATGGAGTGTCGGACTAAGAAAGGTTGTACTCCATTCTACCTCACCTGTAAGGAAGGATATCAAGGGATTGCTGTCATGCTAGTGAAGCACGGGGCCAATACTGAAGTAAGACCATTAGTCATGTGACTCTCATGTGACTCTCATGTGACTCTCCACTCCTATAGGCAACCGACCAGCGTGGGATAACACCTCTACTGGCTGCTTTTAGAAACGGACATGTGGAGGTAAGGAGTGAACTGCTCTTAGTTCCATCTCTCTCTCTCTCTGTGTAGGTTGTTGATTGGCTATTGGGTCATGTTGCTCACCTACCCAGTGACTTGGATTGTCAGAAAGCTCTTTTGGCTCCTAAACTAACCGACAAGGAGGTCTTCCCCAATCGCTCAAAATGTCTTGAACTCATTATGAAGGTTTGAATATTATTTTTTTGTCCCTGTAATTAGATCATATGTGGTAGGCTAAAAAGGCCAGAGAACAGGCAGCACTGAAGAATGCCCAGAGCTTGTTTGAGGAGTTGGACGCTGAGAAAGAGAAGGAGGAGACCAAGAGGAAGGCAGCTGCTAGGAGACGACACAAGAGAAAGGAAAAGAAGAAAAACAAACAGTTTGAGAAGAATGCAGAAGTAATTAACTAAATAAATAAATAAATGACAATAATGGAATGATAATAATAATAATGGGATACATGTACATGTACTTTATGCCGTCTTTTCTTTCTTTTTCAGCCCGATATCGATCCCAAAGAATTCGAAGACGAGGAGGAAGAGGATTTCACTGCTAGACCGTCTCTACTCCAACCGCCATCAGTTGAGACGACTTTAGAACGAGAAGAAGCTCCTCCCATTTCACCCACGCCCACTCGAAAACTAAGCAAGAAAAGAGGAAAGAAAAACCAGGGGAGCGATAGCGGACTGGCCACGCCTACTCTAGGCTCGACAACATCAGTCACACGCACAAGTCTCCAGACCCCGGCGACCTCTTCCCATGGCCAGTGTACCGACAGCTGGGGGGAGGAGGAGGAGTCTGGGGACGATGAAATGTTTGTGGACGCACCTTCTGAATTCATTCCGGACGGTGGCAGAGGAGGAAGTTCCAATCCTGCCCCCTCGTCTCCTAAGAATTGTAACGGGTCAAGTGACGGGTATCGGAAGGTTGGAGGTGGGAGTGGTAGATCAACAAGAGATCAGAAGGTGGAGTCATCAAGCGATGCTAGACCTGTCTGCTCTCTGCTACCTCGCTCGAATAAAAATGGAAAAAGAAGTAAATCATTAAAAGACGAAGTGAAAGGAGGAGGAGGAGGGGGTGGGGTGAAGCGTAGTGGGAGTCAGAAAGTGACAAAGTCCGAGGGTAATGGAGGAGGAGGGGATTTATCTGTTTCTTCGTCAAATGATGGGACAGCAGGAGCAACTGTTCAACTACCACCGACCAGATCACCAAGAGAAAAGAAAAAGAAGACCGGAGGAGGAGGAGGAGGGAAGAAATCTCCTGATCCTCCTCCTACCACTACCGCTAATAATAATAATAATGATAAGAAAAGTAAGAGATAAAGGCTGAGAGATTTGGTAATTGATTTTACATGTTTACCGGACCCCTTGGTTCCCCCCATAGGATCTGAGTCTGCCTGGAGAGAGAGTCCTGTGCTAGTGAGAGATGAAGATGATTGGGACAACAACCTCTTGGAACCGTCACTGGACTGGAGCAATGATAACAACCAGCAACCATTCAGTAAATAATAAAATAAATAAATAAATAAATGATAATAGTAATGATAATAACTAAGTAATACTGATACATGTTTAATCTACATTTGCCTACGTACATGTACATGTATGTTTCTGTGTTTGTACACATTCTCACTGTTTTGAAGTTATAAATTCTCCCCCCCCCTCTCTTCTCTTTTCAGTTCCTAATACCTGTAGTAAAGTCAATCGGACAAAGTCGTGGTCTAGCGTCACCACGGCGACGCCCTCCGTATCCTTGGCAACCAACTCAGTCCCGCCCAGTTCAGCGGCCAACAGCAGCAGTGGGGGTAGTAATAGCAATAGTAAGAATTGGCAAGAGGTTTCTCGTGCTATAAAGTGAGTGTTACTATTTTTAGATTCTTTAATTAGATTGTGGTTTTGTGTTCTAAATATAGGACTCATCAGTTGACTGTGTCTAATTCATTGGTGGGGAGGATAATTGGTTTGAAAGGAGCCAAAATTAATCAAATACAAGTTAGAGAGAGTACATGTGCATGTACTGTACATGTGTGCTTTATATTTAATGGGTATCATGAGCAGCTGCATTGCTAAACTGTGATGATTTAATTCATTGTTCCATTGCTGAACTATTTCATCTGATGATCACATGATTCCCCTACTGAGTTTAGCTATTGCAACAACAATAAAATTTCATATGTAGAAAGGAATGAAAAAGAATTTGCTCCAAAACTTGGCCAATAATCATGGACTATACTATAGTACTATAGTACAGGGTCGTTGACCAAATTTCATCAAAAATGACTAGGAGAGAATTCTGCATTTTTATATTTTTTTCTGATGCATATACATGTTCTTATGTTGTATTTCAAGTTTAAGCTGATTTCGATAAAATTTAGATTTTTTTACAAATCCTCATACTCAATCTTGTTTTTTTAAATTTTTTATGTTCTTTAGTACAGGGTCGTTGGCCAAATTTCATCAAAAATGACTAGGAGAGAATTCTGCATTTTTATAATTTTTTCTGATGCATATACATGTTCTTATGTTGTACATCAAGTTTGAGCTGATTCCAATCAAAATTGGATTTTTTACGAATTTTAAAAGTTTTTTTTTCGTTTAAAAACAGACATTATATTGTTTCTCTTTATATTGTTTGTGTAGAGTGATTCAGGTGCTCAGATCAGCATATCAAGAGCTATCCCCAGATCAGTTGAGAGATTAGTAACGATCAAAGGAACTGAGAGATCAGTCGTCACTGCCCGTGAGATGATTGAGGAAGCACTCTCTACCTCAAACAGAGACAGTGATGATTTATCCCTACCCAATCAATCATCCACTCCTTCTCTTTCCTCGCCTCTCGTTCAAAACCCAGCACCACCACCTCTTCAATCCGCCCCTCCTCTTTTAGCCACACCTCCACAGATTACCAGTTCTTCTGCAGTGAGTGTGTCTAACCCTTGGGGTCAGCCATCTTTATCAACGACCAGCAGCAATACAACGATATCTACTGGTGTTAGTAGTAACACTACTAGTACCACTACTACTGTATGGGGTCAAAAGAGTATAAAGAGATACTCAGATGTGGTCCCTCCTACCAGTTCCTCCTTACAATCAAGTTCTACGTCAGATAATAATACCGAAACCGAGACTCCGCCCATATCTGCCTCGGTTTCTGCTAGGAAGCTTTCTCTTCCAGCCAGTATTCCCTCGTCTTCTGCTCCTCCCCCCACGTCACTGGTTGCTCCCCTTCCAACGACAGCTTCTCAATCGAAAAGTGCCACTTCTCTTACAAAAGAGACTCCAGCTCCTGAACCAGTTGTTGTTGTAACAGCTAGGACCGGTTCAATCCCTAATAGTTTCTTAAGTATCGTCCAAGAGGAGGAGGAGAGTGAGGAGGCATTGAAGCTCAAACGATCCAATTCAGAACCCACTAATTCCGTTTCTTTCATCAACCCATCTTTAAGCGATGTCGTAAGCTCCGCCTCTTCCTCCTCAACAAAGCCCACGCCTCAGTCACTCCATCCGTCTCAGAAATTTTCTCCGTCCATGTCTCCGATTTTGTCCCCTTCCACCCCTCCCCCCGTCTCTCCCCTTTCCTCCGTTAAAGTATCGACTGCTCCAGTTTCCTCAGTTCCACCTGAGGCCCCTCAGTCTCCCGAGCCTAAGGCTGTTCTCACTGTAGCAATGACACCCTCTACTGTTGGGGTTACACGAGCTAACAGGATGGTGGGTGTGGTCACGCCCACTCAAACTGTAAAGCCTTATCAAGTACGAAATATTATTAATTTTTAATTTATTAATTATAATATTATTTTTTATTTTAGCATGAGACCACACCCACTCAGACACTTCCATCTTCGTCCACCATTACAGTCACACCCTCTTCTGGTAGTCATGGCAACTTTGGGGCCATTGGTCCGCCAAACAGACGAAACAGTTTACCAGTCTCGCCTCACTTGAATAATCATTATGGTGGGTGTGGTCACCTGAATGTAATAAAGTTTCATTTTCTTTTTTTCCTTTAGACTCCAACGACTTTAATAATATCAGGAAATTCTCTTATGGTGAGTTAGTTTTTAAAAGCTTTTATCATTATTGTTATTATTATATTATTTATTCCTTAATACATGTAGCCGGGATACCAATGGTTCCGCCAGTGGGTGGGTCACTGGGTGTGGTCCACGAGTCCTTTCCCATCGTTCAAAGAGATTATAACTGGCCTCCTCCTCCTCCAATGTTAAATGGGCCCCTCCCACCAGCTCCTCCTCCCCCTCACCACCCTCCCCCTCCCCCTCATGCTCACCCTCCTAATCCGTCCTACGTTCCTCCTAACCACATCGACTGGACGGGAGGAGGAGGAGGAGGGAACTTCTTAGAGCAGCAGGAGAGGGCCAGGAGTCAAAGCTGGGCTGGCCTGGTAAGCAAATTTGATTTTTTTAAAATTAAATAATGTACTACTTATGTACGTGTGGGTTTGTTTTGTAAATTGATTTTTAAGTCCTCTATCTGTTCTAAGAATGAATCAGGTACTAGACTGTTGTTTATATTCATGACAAATTCCCCTTACATTTTCTAAGAAATAAATCACTCGTGAATTGATTTTCACATGCACTACATGTACATGTACATGTACTACACCTACATGTATACTTTCCTTAGCTCTTCTAAGAAATAAACTAAGCAGTACTAGACTCTTTCTGAGACAGCATGTACTGTATCTCACACGTGTGTGTGCCCGCGCCATCAGTCTGTGTGTTTTTATATGATCTCAGTGAGCCCACATGTACTATATAAATTTACCACACGCATCCCACACATTTACTATGTGTACTATGTACCATGAATGTATTCTATTAGTGCATACACATGTACATGTATGTTTTCATAATTTCTAGTGAATATATACTTGTACATGTCAATTACATCTATGATAATTTTATTTGAGATGTTCATATGTAATCCAGACGTCCAGCTGCTAGTCTATTATTAAATATTATTTTTTTCCTAATAGCCTCCTGGTAATTTTGCTCTCCCTGGAGGGACTCACGATTTCCCCCTTCCAAGTGGAACGGGCGGGGCTAACAGGTCGTATTTTGATGGTAACGATCACATGAGCCATGGTCCCCCTCCCCCTCAGCACTCCCCCGGCTGGGGAGCTAAATCCTTTCATCCTCACCATCACCAGCCACCACCTCCTCCTCCCCCTCCTCATCGCTCTCACTCGTATCAGTTCCGCCCACCACCATCATATGTACCGCACCCATTACGATCCACCACCGGTAGCTACAGCAACCCTGGGGGTAATTATTACGAACACGGTAACGGATTGCAGACTGATCCTTACCACAACTGGGCCCCTACTCCCTTGCCTGCCTACCACCAGTCACACAAGAGCCAGCAGGGTGGTAGTGAGCCGATATCTTTAAAACAAGTCCTCGGGGAGAAACTTGAACAAGAGATCTTTCCTGGAGAAGGCGGGAGTGCTGGGCTGAGCTCGGCTGATTTCTCAAGTAAAGATGATTCCTGCTCTCCTTCTAAGAGATGGTCTGTCTCTTCTTTTCCTCCTCAAGTATCTTCTGCTCTGCCTCCTCCTATTTCAAACGGGACCTCTTCTTCGTCCGGTTGGGGACCAGGAGGAGGAGGAGGAGGGGGACATCCCTCGGCTCGTCATTCTGTGACTGTCTCTCCGTTTCAAGATGGCGGCGACAGCGTCATTTCTGATCTGACCTCTTCCTGGCCGACCGGAATTTGGTCTTCTCCGGTTCCCACGTCTCGTCAGCCTCAGTCTCCTTTTTCTCCGTCTTCATCTCTTCCTGTTCGACCCCCTGAGGATGGGTGGGGAGTGGGCGGGGCTGGAGCTCAGTCTGATCTCGTTGAACTCATGAAGAGTCTTGATATAGCTGAACACATTCCTGCTCTTAAGGTGAGCTGGACTAAATTTTAAAAAAACATCGTTGCTTTATTATTAATTTTGCTCCATTTTTTAGAACCGTAAGCTTAGCTTGGAGCAGCTCTGCAATCTCAGTGAAGAAGGTTGGAGGGAACTGAACCTTCCTGTCGTAAGTATACACGTAGTTTAATGTTAGCTGCGTTCATCATGATCTTACATGTAGATGTACATGTTTTTATTATGATTACATCAGACAGTGACATTATTACTTCATTTTCCTTGTCTAGGGCCCCAGGGTCAAGCTGATGAATGCCATCACTCACAACAAGCCGCTTGAAGCCAAAGGAATAGGTAATGAGATCATGAGAGAGCAATAGTGATGAAATTTGATTTGATTCCGGTTCACATTTCTGTGGTCTGAGATATACTAGTAAAAAAATGGGATGTGGATCCAACTTTCCCACACCCGCTAGTAATGTTATACGCTATATCGGATATTGCCATTGAACTGATGTGAAGAGAGCTAGTCTGTATGGTCTGTCAGCTCATCGCTTATAAGAGCTTGTTTATGCTATCTCTGTTATGCCCAACGTGCTATAAATTTATTAATGTCATTAGCACTAATGTCGTCTAGCACTCTAAGTATATGAATATTTGGACCAAGCAATGTGCTTGTATTATGTGTGTGCATATTAGTATATTTAATGTTTATTTTCATCCGGTAATGAGTGTATATGCTTTGTTTGTGTTAGCACCTTTACAGTGCCCCTCTGATCTCAGTGCGTCTCCATTATGTTCATCAATGGCTTTGATGTATTTCTCACTCCCACCATTACCTATACATTCCTCTATATGTATTGGAGTCTATGTACATGTACATGTACAACATACCGTAATAATAATACAGCTGTGCTTTTTTCAACTACTTTTTAATGTTGCTATTATTTTAATGATTTTTTTTCTCTCAGGAGGTGTGGTAGAAAAGGATTTATCCTCTTCAGTGCCTACTTCTTACGTTAAGTGACTTCTTAATTTATTAACTGTTGCTCTCACCACCTGCTGATTCTATCAAGTTATTATTATTATTATTGTTATTATTATTGGATAGTGTATTTAATCTAAAATAGCTCATTATTATTATTATTATTATTACCCATTTATTGTGTTTATTACTAACCTTTTGCTCCTTTTTCGATATCGATCATCAATGACATTCGAAACTTTATTGATCTTTCTTCTTCCCCCCTCATTCTCTGATCATTGCTCTATTCTTATTATTATTCAGCTAAGTTTTGTACACTTAAAACATTATTTAAGCCACATTATTGTTATTATTATTATTTAAAAATGAGAATTAAAAATAGCAGCGTCTTCTCTTTCCTCAAGCTTTCCTCCATACGTGTCATTGAATTTTGTGGTCTTCAATATGAGTCGAAGGAGGAAACTAGCATAGTCTCATTTGTAGAGTGGTGCTGGTATTTTGTATTATTACAAGAAAATGGTAATTGATTACTAATTGTGATTGATTACTTCACTTCCTTGTATGTCCTGACCCACGTTGTCATTTGACCACATTGACTGCATCACCATTAAAAGAAATTAATTAATAAGGAGTGGGTTGACTTGGTTTTGTTGTGGACTGATGGTAATTACTATAGTATTTTAGTAAGCGTTCCTGGAAGTACATGCTTCTCCAGTTCCCCTGCATATCCACGCAACGCTACATCGTTGTTCGACCACATCACCATTAAAGGAATTGACTTGGAGAGAGTGGGTTCTGTTGTGAACTGATGGTAATTACTATAGTATTTTAGTAAGCGTTCCTGGAAGTACATGCTTCTCCAGTTCCCCTGCATATCCACACAATGCTACATCGACCACATCACCATTAAAGGAATTGACTTGGAGAGAGTGGGTTCTGTTGTGAACTGTAATATTAGTACAGTATTCTATAGTAAATATTGGTTAAGAATAACTCCCCTGAACTTCCATGTAACTTTTTTTGATACACTCCTTTGCAGTATAGTTAGAAGACCACTTCAATTAGCATACATAATTTATTAGCATTCTCTTTGCATATCAAAATTAGCATGCATTATACTAGAATTCTCTTGGCGTGCTATTTTAATGATAATAGGTGGTGTGATGCTATCATGTCAACAAGATTACATTACATATGTGTGATGACTGTTGACACTTGGATCGCATCAAACATTCACTGGAACTGTAATTCATTAATGACTCGTGTTGCATGTTGATGTTACAGTAACGAATCTAACAGCTGAGGAATGTGACTTACTACCACTGACCAATAGAACTGTTTACGTAATAAGAGTTTATGACCTTTGTATGACTAGACACAATTAAATGAATACTTTAGACCACACATTTGCAGTGAGGTGTGATAATATTGGATATGCAAGTGTCTTTAATATTTGATAATGAAGAGGAGCATCAAGTTATCATCACTTAATACTGCACCAGTTTGTAGCAGTCAATACCAGTTATAGCTACAAGGCTTTTACATTAATTTGACTCTTAACGTTAAATTTGTAATAATTATCATAATTTCTTATGCATTTGTTAGACATTCTGACAAAAGACTACAACACAAAAACACAGCTGTTAGTTTCTGCTTTGTGTGGGAGGCATCTTTATTGTGACTGATTGTTTTCTCAGACCGACTGTCTGAGTTGATCAAACCATAAGGCCTATGCTGTAATTTGATTATGTACATAAGTCTTCAGTGGTTTCACATTTCACATACATTAGTTATGCATGCGGGAATCTTCAATCTTCATACAAATCGTAATAATAACTTGCAATATTTACAAGATGTTTTTACAATCAATTTACACCTCAAGGTGCAAACTTGTAACAATGTAACAATGTTGCAATAGTTGTACTTTGTTTTGATAATCAATTTTACACTTTTAAGTGATTTTTAATTTTTAGAGTACTACCTGTACCTGATTTTTAAGAATGATAGTAATTTATGTATACAGATAGGCAGGCCTCTCTTCTTTCAGCCAGTCAGCCTTACAGTATGGCTGCACTTTGCACCCACTCTATTTTAAACAATGGAAAGACCCGCAGCGCATTTGTGAGCCTATAATGATATTCATTGATCTAATAATAATTGCATTCCGTTCTCATAATAACATGAGCACTCGTGTTTATATAAATAAGAGAAAACTCCCTCTCTGATCACAAAAGCCCATTATAATATTACAGGAAAGATGAAAGAGTACTCTTCTTTATCTGTTAGCAGATGGACACTCCTGGTATCCTTGCTTCTATGCATATCACTTGGTAAGGCTCTCTACCTGCAATCATTATCTTTTATTATATATATTCTATTTATGTGGGAAAACTAGTGTATTAATATGTATAAAATTGACTTTGTGCCCTTTCCTTTTCTCTTTCTATTACTCCATTCTACTCTCTCCCTCTTGTTCCATCTTTTCCTTCACTTCCAGTCTCAGCAGGCAGCAATCGTGTTCAAGCCAGCAGTCCAGGCTGGGATCATATACCAAGAGATGTCAAAGCAATGGTTGGTCAGTATGCTTTCTTCAACTGCCAGAACAGGCTACCGCACAACAGAACCTTCTGGCTATTGGAAGGAAGGAGGGACATATTCTCTACTAGATACGCCTCAAGAGCGAGCATCCATAACAAAGGACGAATGCTGAGATTCGGCCCACTACAAGAGGGAGATGATAGAATATCTATTAACTGTGAAGTACTCACTCAGTACGGTCTATTGCCAAGCCCATTGGGAATGATATACGTACAAAGTAAGATGAAGGATATTCACTATGCATGCATGCTAGTGCTGCTACTGTTGCAACTTAAGCATAATTATTGTGTTTAATTTGATGCAGACAAATGCTGTGTATAATGCATATGTGTGTATTGTATTGATTGAGCTTCTTGTGTTGGCTATGTGTGAATGAGAAACTGAGTGCATGTGTAAATGTGCAAGACACCATTCATACGACAAAGGATTCCCTTTTAATCTTTTTTTTTGAAAAAAATTTAATTATATCACATAGTTCACTAGTCACTCCAAGTATCCGTGTATTATGATTTGTTATGCTTGTTTGCTATGCTATTGCATCAGAACATACACACACACATCTTATGTTGTGGTTTTGTGGAATGCACTTCTAATGCTAGTGTGTCTTTGAAGAGTAATGGATCCTTCATGTACTGGCAAATGTTGACCTCTGTATAGAGTGTGAGAGGGCTGGGCTAATGATTGCCATTAGAACCAGACTAAGCTAATTAATTTTCATAATTGCATGGATTTTATAATTGCTTTCTTTAACATCAAACACATTATTACACCCTTCCTCTCTCTCTCTCTCTCTCTCTCTTTATCCTGCAGCTCCTCCTAAATACAATGCTTCTTCAATGTCAGTCTTCATTGGCCAGCCTTGTCTGTTTGAGTTTGACTACTCGGGTGCTAGGCCAGACTCTTATCGCTGGTACAAAAATGGAAGGAGATACTATGGAGAGATAAGTAAGTTTGAAACAACCATTCACCTCCTCTTCCTCTGTCCTTACTAATTGGATTATAACATAGTTCCGTATTGTATTACATATGCATATATTTGTTAGAGTTCTGTTGTAATTTAAGTAATGGGGGAACAAATATACAATTAGTCTAAACTCACATCATTGTTTAGCCAGCAACATAAAATAAAGCTATTATTAGAGTTACTATAAACACAACCACTTGAACTGCCTACACTTTAACTATTGAATGCTTTCTCTCCCACAGATAGAGTCAAGCTGACCTACAAGAGCATTGCATTCACAAAAGTCCTTCAACACGATTCTGGGATATACGAGGTCCAGTCTAAGAACATTGCTGGGACTGGTAGAGGCTCTAGCTACTTGAGAGTCATATTTTGGTGGAAGAATGGTACTCAATCCCAGCATGCTGGCCTCTCACAGCCAGGTGAGCCATACTGAAGATATTGTACTAATAATAGTAGTGACTCTGTATTTTATGATACATATCATTTATTATTTTATTTTTTATTTTTTAGAGTTACCCATGAGTTTAGCAGTCCTTCTTGCTATTGGGGAAAACAAGACCAATGTCACCTCTTTGTCAGGCACCAGAGTTCAAGTCTCAGCCTCAGATTCATCAGCTTACGTGATGAGGTTATTAAGAAAACTGAGTCTCAGGGCCAGTGACGAGGCAAGAATGCAAGGAGAGGGAAGGGAAGAAGTGGAGAATATTTTGCGCCGCATGGTAAGGATTGTGGGTCATCCTCTCCAGTATCTCAACTCAAGTGATATGGAGGCTATACTCAATGCCACAGTCTGCCGCCAGGCTACAATGCAATATAACTGCCTTGATGAATCAGTACTGAGATACAGGACAATCAATGGGACTTGTAATAATCTCTTCTTTCCTCTCAACGGGGCAGCTAATATGGCGTTTGCCCGGATGTTACCTGCTGTTTATGAGGACGGTATTTCACAGCCACTCGGTTACACCCAGGCTAGGGCTGGAAAAGCTTTTGAAGGACCTTGGCCGAGCCCTCGCTACATCAGCTGGCACTTGGTGAAAGACTTGGATCACACCAATAGCCGTGGATTAACACACATGTTCATGGCTTGGGGTCAATTCCTAGACCACGATTTGGATCTTGCTCCCGTTTTTGAGGACGAGGTCACTGGAGAGGAGCTCGAGTGTGGCTGTAACTATACCAATCGGTGCTTCCCTATTCCAGTCAGACATGATGATCCTGTTTTTGGAACCCGCTCCTCTCACAGTGGAGAGTGCCTACCTCTCACTCGCTCAATACCAGCCTGTCGCTGTGGAGGGCAGCAGAACGACCTCTCAAGGACTCAACTCAATCAACTGACGTCTTTTATCGACGGTTCTCAAATATACGGCTCCGACAACAAGAAAGCCAGCGACCTTCGTATGCACATAGGAGGTCTACTTAAATCGGGCGGAGTCACAGGATCTAGAAAAGAGAACCTTCCGTTCCAGGATAAGCAGTCTCCAATGAGAGGGGGAGGGCCTTTGTTTGACGCTGGGGATCCTCGTTCAAATGAGGTTATTACTCTCTCTGTGATGCACACCATATGGCTAAGGGAACACAACAGGATCGCTAATGAGTTGTCGGAGATCAATCCTTGCTGGGACGACGAGAGGATCTACCAAGAGGCCCGTAGGATCGTCGGTGCCAAATTACAGATAATCACTTATGAAGAGTTCCTCCCAGTTCTTTTTGGACAGTATTACAGTCAGTACGTGTCTCGATATTTCGGATACAATCCTTTTGTTGATGCTACGATACCTAACGAGTTCAGTGCTGCCGCTTTCCGTTTCGGCCACTCCCTCATTCGACCGACTTTCCAGAGACTTGATAAGAATTGGAATTCCGTTCCCGAGGGACCACTTCCACTTGAGAGGTCATTTTTCAATCCATCCGAGTACTTCAAGAGCAATGGCACAGACCCTCTATTAAGAGGACTATTGACTAGCGTCTCTCGTGACGTTGACGAGTTTTTAAACAGTGTATTAACAACAAAACTATTCACAGAGAGCCCAGAAGAATCCGGAATGGATCTCGCTTCACTGAACATTCAGAGAGGGCGTGATCACGGGATACCGCCCTACAGAAAATGGAGAGAGTTCTGCGACAATGTCTACCCGAGGAGAAACCCTCCGTTCCAATACCCTAACACAGAGAGAGTCATGAGAGAGATATATGGAGAGGAAGGCTATAGAGATGGTATGGATCTTTGGGTCGGTGGGCTGTCAGAGAAGAAGCTCCAAACTGCTCAAGTTGGTCCTACCTTTGCTTGTATTCTCGGGATGACATTCACTAGACTAAGAGATGGGGACAGGTTCTGGTATGAGAGCTCCTATAACTTCTTTCCATCTCAACTCGTGGAGCTAAGGAAGACTAAACTATCCAAAGTGGTGTGTACGAATGCTGACGATATCGATACAGTCCAACCGAATGTTTTCCGGAGCAACCAGAGGAGGATTTCGTGTGGTGCCATCCCACAGACTAATCTTCAGCTTTGGAGAGACAACTCTTGTTCACCAAGAAGAAGTACACCTATAAGGACAGTCAGTGCACAAGAATTGAGGGCATGGTAGAATAATGAGCTTTCCTTTTTGTCTTTTGACAACTCTCCTAACAAACTTTTATTACTATTGTTATTATTATTATTGTAACAAATATTGTTTTATTTATGGCAGTGCTACTACACATTATGCAGTATTTATGTAAAAATTCAGCTTCTTTCTTTTTTCTATTATTATTATTATTATTATTATCTGCTATCTGCTATTAATTTACTAATAATAATTATTATTAAAATGAGAGTTAAACATAATCATAATAGTTATAATATATAATATTGTTGGACAAAATCAAAAAACTTTAAAGAGAGAGAGACAGATACAATGTAATTCAGCAGTAATCGTCATAAAGTCACTATTTCATAATATCAAACAAAGTTTATAATAAAATTTATAAATGATAACACAATAATAAGCTTCTCAAGGGGCACTTAATGGATCATCAAAAATGCTCGGTCCATCATCAAAAATTGAAGAAACATCCTGCTCTTTCTTTTCAGATTTTTTCACTTTCTTTTTTGCTTTTGTTGTCTTCGTGGCAGATGAATCACCAGCAGCTAAAGGATCACCTAAATGATAATCAAAATTATATAATTTTGATAAATTAAAAGAAAAAGGAAGGAGGAATAAGAAGAGACAAAAAGGGTATAAAAATAACCCACTATCAGTGGGAGGGGCCTCAGATGAAGCTCCTCCTTCTTTGTCACCGCCTGTCTTTGAAGCAGTGGTTGTTTTCTTTTTCTTCTTTGTTGTTTTTGGAGATTTGCTTTTAGTTTCAATGCCACCAAAGATGTCATCAGTGTTACCAAACAGGTCGTCATCAGGTCTAACTTTAGCTTTTGTTGCTCCTGGTTTCGCTTTCTTTGCTTTCTTTTTATCTTCAGAGAATACATCATCAACCTTAAGAAAATAAATTAATTTAAAAAGTAAAAAAATTAAAAAGCATCAACTAATGATTTACATGCACATACATGTTCTTATGTTGGATAGAAACATTGAGCTGATTTAAATTAAAATCGGATCTTCTTGCAATTTTTTGAAGTTACACAAAACTTGGTCTTGGGTCAAATTCAAATTTTGTCAAAAATGTAATTTTTAAATTTTATAATTTTTTCTTATACATATAGATGGTCTTATGTTGTGTAGAAAGTTTGAGTTGGTTCTAATCAAGTTTGGATTTTTTATGAATTTTTAAAGTTGCTCCAGAATCAGACAAAAGTCACTGTACTATAGTACAGGGTCGTTAGCCAAATTTCATCAAAAATGGTTAGGAGAGAATTCTTTATTTTTATAATTTTTTCTGATGCATATACATGTATTTATGTTGTATATCTAATTTGAGATGATTCCGATCAAATTTGAATTTTTTATGAATTTTTTAAAGTATGTAATTTTTTATGCATGTTATGTCACATAATCATACAAAATTCCTTACCGTTTTATCAGTTTTCATTCCAGGAGGACTGGACGCAAATATATCATCAACTGGGGCTCCTCCCCCTCCAGCATTAGTTCCAGTACTAACAGGATCAGCATCAAATATACTAGGAGGAGGAGCAAGAGGTGGTGGTTCCTCTTTATCTTTCTTTTTCTTGTTTTTGGGCGTGCTTTTGGGTGTTGCTTTCTTCTCCTCCGGTTTACGAGGGGTTGGCCCAAGTGAAGTGAATAGGTCTCCTTCCTCTTCATCTGCAGGTGGCAGTGGAGGGGGACTAGCAAACAAATCATCAATCCCATCTTGTTTTTTAGTCGGCTCGGCCTGTTTGACCGGTTTTGGATCGTCGAAGAGGTCATCTTCAACCAGTCTGACCTGTTTCGCTGACTTTTTCGGTTTTCCGCCAAACAAATCGTCTTCCTCGCTAACAACTGGTTTGACCTGTTTGATTGGTTTTCTATCGCTTTCTCCAAACAAATCATCATCGTCATTAGTCACTGGCTTCTTAGCTTGCTTAACAGGTCTTGGACTAGGCTCTCCAAACAGATCATCAATGTCGTCGACTGTAGTCCTAACCTGTTTAACGGGTTTTGCAACCGGAGGCTCATTATCTCCAAAAAGGTCATCACCGCCGAGCGGGTCTTTGACCTTTGGTTTTGCTGAAGGTTGGGGGAACGAGTCAAAAAGGTCATCAAGTGGATCGTCAGGTGGAGGTTTTGAAACTGTTGTTGGTTTAGCGTGTTTGGGGCTTGTGTCATCAAACAGATCATCATTCCCAAACATGTCCGTCTTCCTCTTAGTGACAGGGCTGGGCTTTTTGACACCACCACCTCCAGAAGAAGTAGGTGGAGACTCGCCAAATAAATCGTCATCTATGGTTTGAGTGGGTGGAGAAACTGGAGGTGTGGCTGAAGATTTACCAGCAAAACGAGTGGGGGGACGTCTGTTGCCTCTTTTTGCTCTTCCCTACAAATAATGATAATAATTATTACAATTATTATTATTATTATTATTATTACTATTATTATTATTATTATTATTATTATTATTATTATTATTATTAATCCGGTTACTATCTTAATGCTAATTTTGTCAAGTTTTTCATTTAAAAAGTTCATACAGACAAAATGAGACAATGATTAAAAAGATAAACAAAAAACCTAATGCAAGTTTCAAAATAACGATTGCTAACACAACACAACATTGCTACCAGTTATAAATAGTCATAACTAGTTATTAACAGTTATCATTGCTGGTCCTGTTCACGGAGATCATCGAGGGCCTTCGAAAATTCCTGTGAGAGTGTCTGAGCATCTTTCGCTTTGTCTTCAGCCTCTTGATGATTGTTGTGTAACTCTTCCTCCAATTCATCCATTGAGGAATGGCTCTCCTCCTCGTGTTCCTCAGTTATGGGGTCAACCTCATCAGAAGCACTGGTCAATACAGCAAAATTGGTGTCAAATCCTGGAGGCTTCTCGGTGAGCGAGTCAGGGCTGTCTGGCTCTTCCAATGGGTCGGCATCAGCATCATGTAAGTCCTCTTTCTCCAGTCCAGCCTGCCTAACGTTACTAGAACAAGTAAAAGTAATAGCATTGACAGTTGAGGCTGCACACGCTGCAGCAGTCCTGAAGAACCCGTTCCTATCTGATACTTGAGCTGCAGTAAGTCCACGGTTAAAGAAAATGGCCGGTGCCCCAGATACTGGTACAGAAGGAAGTCGAGAGGTGAAACGACAAGTGGTGTAATCCCTAATCCTTGGATATGCGTATACAGGTACAGGTGTGGTGCTAGTGGGACAAGGAACAGGCATACATTCTTCCTCTATTCCAGGAACATTGTTGGTGTATGTGTACGTCTTTCCTAGTCTCCTTGCCAGTAAAAGTGCTGAGGGTCTCCTACTAAGAACTGATGGTACAGACATACGCAAGAAGCAGGCTGTTTCACGCCATTGACCAAGGCCAATTCTAGGGAGAGCACGAGTATCTGAACATCTGACACGAGTCTGACCATCATTGAATTGACGGAAAGCATCAGGCTGTATTGTAGCAATGTTATCACTGGTGTCACAGAGAACTCTGGAGAGGCTCTGCCGTCTTATCTGGTTCAGTTGTCCAGCAGTAAAGACCCCGGGGTTCTCAAAGTAGAACCTATCGCCGTCACGCACATCTGAAAACGTGATACCAAAAATACAGGCAAAAGTTGGGCCTAAAACAGAGTCGAAGAATCGTCTCTCGGCAAGGCCTGCTATCCATAGATCAACAAAATTCTCACTGCTGTAAAGTTTAATAAACTCAGCTCGAGTTGCAGCATTCTGGAATTGGAATGGAACTCTGATACCTTTGTTAGCAAAGCGTGATCGACAGAATTCCCTCCAGGAAGCATACAATGGTAAACCATGATCACGGGATCTCTGGATGTTCAAAGAAGCCAGGTCCATACCAATGGATATATTTGTTTCAAACAAGCGAGTGGTTATTATCCCGTTAAGGAACTCATCCACAAACCGTGGAGACTGAGTCAACCAACCTCTCACAAGAGAGTCGGTCCCGGCATCGTCCTCAAATAGGGCAGGGTTGAAAAACATTCTAGCAAGACTGAGTCTTCCCCTTGGGCTTGAGATGTATCCTGGTCCAAGACGGTCAAAGAACGGGCGAATAAGACTGTGGCCGTACCGATAAGCAGCTGTGGCAAATGAATTGGGTACGTCAGGATTAACGGAAGAATCATATTTCGTGAAAGGACCTATGGTTGCCTGAAATCCTCGAACGCCAAGTATTCTAGGAAGATAATCAAAATATGTTATCTTCTGTATAACGGCGCCTACTATGGCTCGTGCTTCTTGGAAGAGCCTCTCATCTGGCCAATGAGGATTGATCCTTCTCAGATTATTAGCGATTCGATTGTGTTCCCTTACCCAGATAGTGTGCATTACTGTTAGTGAATACTGCTCATTGCAACGGATATCTCCACAGACAAAGCAGTCCTCCCTCTCCCTGCACTGTATGAACTCGGTATTTAGTCCTCTCCTAGGCATCAAACGCTGTCTGCTCCCAGTCGGTGGAGGGCTGGTCGTGAGTAGTCCACGCCGAAAAGCCCTGACTGCTCTCTCTTGCTTCCTGTTTGATCCGTAGATCATGGAGCCATCAATAAAAGATGTGAGGTCATTAACTTGCTCGCGTGGTTCCAATAGCCTCTGTCTATTGCTCCCAGGTTCACATATAGGGACAGCACGACGGAATAAAAGACAGTCGGCGTTTTGCTCGGTCCCTAGGCCAAACTTTGGATCAGTGGGGGCGACACGAATCGGCTCACAGACTTCAGTAAACTTACAGCTCTCACATTCCTCCTCTATCTCTGGCCCAAGGTCAAGATCGTGGTCAAGGAACTGGCCCCACTGCATGACTATGTGTGTGAGTGGTTTCTCATTACGGAAGTTACGACTGATGACAGAAGAACTGACTAGTCTAGCACTAGGGGCTGGTGGATCAAATGGATCTTTACCAAAGACTTTCTGAGCTTGCTTACGTCCAATCGGTGCATCTACACCGTCTTCATACAGGGCTTTTATGAGTCGTCTGAACTGACGGCCAGAGGAACCCAGTAAAGGCTGATTCACATTGTTACATACTCCAGTGATTGTTCTGAAAGTGTTGACGTTTAGTAGCCTACTGCACCTTCGGGCAAATCTCCTCTCATTCACGCACTCAATCTCCAGGTTGATCTTAGCCATTTCATCTTCCTTGAGGAGTGATCCAGGAGTGTGGACCAGCTCCTCTGCTAGGATATTAGCCATCTCTTGGCTTGAAGCAGGAGTTTTTGATTTCTTTAGCTCCAAAAGCTTTCTCTCTGCCCTATCGACCATGTCTTCCAGTAAGAGTCGAGCCTTTCCATTTATGAGAGATCTCTGAGTTGGTTTCTTGAATCCACGAGCGAGGAACTTGGTGGCAGTAAGTCCTCTGCCACTTTTCTTTTCAGCAGCAAGAGCAGCTGCTTGCCTTGCCTCTTTCATCTTAGCATAAGCCTTGGCCTCATCTATAGCATCTTGAATGATTTTTGCTCTTTCTGTGAAGAAGAAAGATAAAAGAGAGAAAGAGGGAGAGGAAGATACAAATATTAAATTTTAAATATCAAACGGTTGCATTACTATGGCTCTCACCTTCAGCAGTTCCCCAGTACTGATCATCATCAGATGAAACTACCACTGCAAGATAGGCAGTTGCAATAACAGCAAGAAGAAGAAGACCCTTCATCTCTTGTCCTCACTCACACCAGAGAAAGCTTCAGTATGAATGAAGAGTTGAGAAGTTTTCTGTGTGTTGATTGCTAGGGAAAGCTGCTCCCCTTTATATAGCAAGAGAAAAGGAAGTAATTTTTTCTCTAAGGGCCGCACTTCCCTAGCTCTGTTGCCAAACTCGTTGTACATTTATGGATACTATCATTGTTAGTGGAGAAATGGTTAGTAAACAAACCAGCCACAAAGGCATCGAGTATCACTACGAATGCTGCAGCCATAAACTCTACTAGATCTAACACGCCAAATAAGACACCACCAAGGATAAGAAAGTCATAAATATTCTGTCTCTGTTCAGGGCCATTTCACGTGACATGTAGCAGCTGCGGCATTATCATGTAATCAAAATACAAACATACTGATACTGGGACTTTGGTCTTTATGATGCTAATAGTGCATGTACTCTCCCTGTTGCTCACTATGACTGATAAATGAAATGATAGCCAGGTTTGGATGTGCTATAGATACTACAGTAATCACAGTTGTACTACACTGTAAGCTGTACTCACAGATACTTATACACTACAATGCAACTTATCCATCATTTGAGCTTCATGCAGTAACTGTATATGGAATATGATGAATAAGAGTAAAGGATCATAGTCATGTAGTAAAAGATGAGATGTTTTTGTAATATTAATACAAAAGAGTGGTCTTTTATCATGTCATGCAACAAGTATGCATCAGAAATAGAGTAAAATGCAAAAAAGCAACAGCTAAACAAGCATAAAATAACTGAGTGGGAGACTGGGAGTATAATTACAAGGAAAGAAGATAGTTTAAAAATACTAGAGTTCAATAAATAAACAATGCGTATTACGTGAAGCAATTATACAGCTCTTGTATGGTGAGGGAGTAGGCAGGCATTATGGGATTAAATAGTTAAATATGGTTGGAAGGGCTGGAGACAAGACAACAACCAATAATAGGATAACAGTCCCAGCAGAAACCAGCACTGTGCTTTTATCAGGCTGCGTAGAATTTAGTTAAGCTCTGGTTAATGTATTTAGATAGGATCACATCTTTGAATAGACAACAAGCAGTGGACAGAAATAAAAGAGAGAAAAGAGAGAGAGAGGGAGAGGGGTAGAATGAGGAAGAAAGGAAGATGACAGGAGGAGAAGATGGAAGGAGAGAGGAAGAGGTGGCCGTGGTGTGGCATAACAAATCTATTTTGAGAGAGCTAAGCATCCTGTCTTCCACTGAACACATTAACAAAAATGGAGAAAAGAGGAATTGGCAGTGGCCAGGAAATAAACACAAGCTTGAAATGGACACACAAACACGTTCACAGACAAAGACAACTCATGTACATTGAAATATACATAAAAAATACATGTATAATGCATGTACAAGTACATGTACATTGTATAGATAAGAAATGCGATATGTGGTACTACACACTCGACTTGAAGGATTGTCAACAAGGTATATGAAGCTAAATATGGCTGTAAATGATATTGTTATATCATACTAAGTTCAATTACTAGGAGGGCAGGTGGGAGTGATTTAATTAGAGTAGAAGAGAAGTCAAGGGGATTTCTCTTAACGTGGTACGTCAAACTAAAACTAATTTTCCCAAAACCTCAGAAATACAGCCTTAGTAAGGATTTCGGCACAAAAACATGTATACATGTAAACAGACGAAAGTTCATGTAAACCAGAAGACTTGAAGATGACACACACACAAAAACATTAGATAATTCCTTATAAACACACAGAGAGGGTGTACACATTTGCAATATAACAGGAGGAAACCGATAAATAGCATATTGACGTACATGTACATGTACACATACATGCATGTACATGTACATGTAGGCATAAGTTCCCCTCAACGGCTTGTGATTCAGTTTATCCCAAAGCCAGTCAGCCTGACCAAGCTTTCTTTAAACACCCCTAGCCACACAGAGAGGTGTATCAATAAGTGTAAACAGTGATAATGGGAGAGATGCCTAAGTGTTTATGTTTTTGTTTGTCACAACTATCACACCTTCCAGCTCTCTCTCTGTCTCTGTCTCTCACTCTGTCTGTCTCTCTCTAAAACGATGCAAGAATATCCTCATCATAGTGATCAAAAACGATGTACGCATACACATAATATAATATAAGATAAAATAACGTGAGATACAATACAATTTAGTAATATCAAGCTCCTCTTCCTTTCTTACTTTTGTCATTGAGGTTAGTGTCTTTGCTTGAGCAGGTTGATCAAAAGAGATTGCAGTTTCTTGAGGAGCTCTGCTAGGAGGAGTAGCACCAGGTAACAAAGCATGAGGATTGATCTGGAGAGAGAACATAATTTAATATGATGATCACTGCTAATGAACAATAATAGAAAATGTATAAAATGTTCGTGTACAAGTGCAATTCGATTAATACAGGGGAAACCATTGTACTCTAAGTTAATTTTCAATTCGACAATTCCACTTTCTCTTTATCTCTCTCTCTCTTTTAATTCATGAGATCATATGACTTTAAAAGATATTTGATTATCAATCGTGTGACCTAATTCACCCACTCGTGTGTCACAACAAAACATTAGGAGAGGCAACTATAACAATTAACTTATTGGAATACAAAACAAACCACAACAGCTTCAGGTAGTCCAACCATACACAGGCAGTCATGCCTCAACTGATATTCATAAATGATTAATAAACTTATATACATATAATTATAGTACCATCAGGTAGGTAGGTACTTTCTTTCATTTATCTACAGTCAAATCTAGCTGCTATTGTATGGACACTCTAAAATAAGGACACCTCTATAATCAGGACAGGTAGTATCAGTCCCAATACAATAGTAATGTGTATTAATGAACCTCTGAAATAAGGACAGGTTCATAATCAGGAGCTAGGGTATTATTGGGTCCCAAGGTGTCCGGAATAGACAGGATTGACTGTATCATACTAGTCTATTGCACATGTACATCAACTATTAACCTAATACTCCTTTCCATGTATCATTCATAAGTTAAAGGAAACTCCGTCTAAATGTCACAAGGCACAATGTGATCCTGTATTGCACAATAATGATAGCCAATATTCGTTACTATTTACTTTATTGATTACTATTGCTACAATATAATGATTACTACAAGTAGATATTGTGTCATTATCATAGAATCAGTTGGCACTGAGTCTGAGTCTTATTGTAAATACTAGCCATAAATGAAGTGGAGATTGAGTCACACACTACACGTGCACATTACATACTTAAATGTACATGCACAAAGGGTTTGTGTGTGCAAGACAGACAGACAGAGAGGCGGTAAGAGTCAAATAAGGTTTCTAATTCAACTATCCTTATCTTTCACACTCTTATTAACCACAGTAATCAAATTTGAATTCTCTCTCTCTCTCTCACTGTTTGTAAATACTTATAGCTCACGGTCAAATAGTCAGCCAAATTATTAACATATACATATACACATACATGTACACTGCCCACAGCGGAATTAAAATAAAAACACCAGCTGCATGTGCATGTACATGAAATTGAACACGTTGTAGATGTACATGTACAAGACGATGTACTACAACTACTAAATTATAAATATTATTATAATCTCATTTCCTTGACCTTTCCACTCAGCAACTCTCCCTCCTTATCTCTCTCTCTCTCTCTCTCTCTCTCTATTTGCCACTCAATTCCTTTTTATAATAATACTCTTGATCATTATAAACCACAGAGCTACCAATAGGGAAGACCAATAATAATTATGTTGGTAGACGCTTATCATTATCAGGAAGAGCAGTAGTAAATATAAAATTAGTAAGAAGCCATTTTGATAAGGGCACAATATGTACATGTACATGTACATGTAAGATTAGTAAATAGAAAATCGGATTAGTGGATTCAGTAATTATCCTAAAAGCTTTTGAAACTTGTTTATAATTGACTCAAACGACTTGAAATCAGCACTAATAAACAGACATTTACAAGTAGATTTACATGTAAATTTACATGTACATGTAATTAAACTAACCATCAGTCCTGGTAGTTTGCTATTGGATTTCATTGCTGATGGTTTGACGGGCTCAACTTTCTGTTCTTCCTCCTCCTCCTCCTTCTTCTTTGCTGGTCGAACTGGTTTCTTGGCAACAGATGGAGGTGGGAGGGGCTTTTCTGAAAAGAGATCGTCCTCATCATCATCTTTACCAGTTGGAGAAGAAGCAAATAAATCATCTACAGGAGGGAGACAAGACAAATACATTAATTTAAAATCATTTACATGTATAATGACATACATGTACATATAAAAATGATTTATTGACTAAGATCATGTACATGTATAATGTATATGTATACATTTTTGATGCACCAACTTATTGAGTAACTTTAAAAATTCGTAAAAAATCTAATTTTGATCAGAATCAGGTCAAACTTGAAACACAACACAAGTACATGTAAATGTATATGTATTAGAAAATGCCATTCAACCATAAGCCCCAGGTAGTATGCCCTTACATAAAGTACCTTGTTTCTTTCCTTTTCTTTTAGCAGCTGCAGCAGCAGCAGCAATACCCATAGGGTCTCCTCCTCCTCCAAACATTGAGACTGCTCCAGCTGGTTTCTTCTTCTTCTGTACAACAGGAGACTCCTCTTTCTCTCCTTCATCTCTCTTCCCTCCTCCTGTCGCTGTCATTGAACTAAACAGGTCTCCATCTTCATCTGAAAATAGACCACCACCGCTGCTCTTCTCTGCTGGGCGTGGCTTGTTTGTCGTGCTAGTGATGGGTGGAGCTCTTTCTGCCTCTTCGTCATCAAAGAGGTCGTCTGTGAGTGGGGTCGGTTTGGGCGGGGCTGGTTTGGGTGTGATGAGCGTACCACCTCCGAGGGGATCATCACCAAAAAGATCATCGGGTGAAAGTGGAGGGGGTTCCTCTTTCTAAAAAAATAATTAAAATAATAAAATAACATTCTCTCGCTTACTTTGATCGGTTTCTTTGTTTGTGTGGGAGGGGCTGGTGCTCCCAATGGGTCGGGCTCATCGTCAAATAATGAATCAGTAACTGAGGGAGGAGGCTTAGTAGTCTAGAGAGAGAGAGAGAGAGAATATAAGAGATATAAAAATTAATACATGCAAAAAACATCCTTACAAATGCTCTATTAATATACATGTACATGTAATAATTAATAATATTATTATTATTATATAAAATATTATACACTTACGATAACAAATGAACATAGAAATGTCCTAATTTTGTTTATGTATATATGTGTTATCATGTGTACCTTTTTCTTTTCTTCTTTCTTTGGTGGTGGACTGGAGAAGAGGTCGTCCTCATCTCCTTCTCCATCGTGACTTTCACTGCCAAACAAACTGTGGGAGAGTGTGGATTTCTTCTTCTCTCCTCCTCCTCCTCCTCTTTTACTGCTTGACCTATAAAAGAAGAGAGAGAGAGAGAGAGAGGAAGAGAAAAGGAGAGAAAGAGAAAGAAAAAAGAGAGAGAGGGAAGGAGGGTTAGATAAAATATAAAATAAAAATGTTCATTTATTTACTACATGTATCAGTACCATATCAGCTAGGAGGCACAACATTCTCATCGATAGAGCAAATTACAAATTCAATTACATCAATTGATAAAATATATTAATTTGTAATACCATACAAGAACACACATCCACATTCACCATGTAAATCTGTGGCTCGCATGAGGTAAGGCATCAAGTGTTAGTAATGTACATGTACATGTACATGTACTTCAAATGTATAGTACTTGTGTGCTTTTTAAAAAATCATTACCTTCCTCTTGGAGCTGAGAATATATCATCATCTTCATCATCATTACCTCCATCAAACAAACTATCAGACTTCTTAGGCTTAAAGGGAGAGAAAGAGACAATAAATTTCAAACACATACATGCATTACAATATTGCTGATACCTTTTCTTTCACAGCTGGAGGTGTTTTAGGCTCGTCATCTTTCAAAGATCCAAACAAGTCATCAGTAGGACTAGCGGCAGCAGCTGCAGAGTTAGTCTTCCTTTTATTAATAGCATTCAATAAATCACTACCACCGAACATAGGTACTGCCCCAGGCAGTCTCTTTTTAGGCTTAACCTCTTCCTCCTCCTCCTCCTCCTCTTTCGGTTTCTCTTGAGGAGGTGAACTCCCAAATAATCCTCCTCCTCCATCACTCTCGTCTGATAACAATGTCGTCTTCTTCTTTGTAGTGGTTGGAGTCGGTTTATTGCTCATTGTGGAGAGTTGAGAGAATATGTCACCCTCGTCTTCCTCTTCATCAAAGAGGCCCCCAGCAACGGGTTTCTTGGGCTCTGGGGGCTTTTTGGTTGTAGTGGGAGTGGCTTTGGCACTGCTGTTGTATTCTTCATCTTCACTGTCACCAACACTCTATGAATAATAACAATAATAATAACAATAATAATAATAATAACAATAATAATAATATTACTAATTTAAAATTAACCTGTTTTGAAAACAAGTCACCTCCTGCAGGACCAAACATTGACACTCCCCCAACAGGTTTCTTCTTAGCTTTGCCGGTATCAGTTACAGGCGGGGCAGAGGGCGGAGACTCACCAAACAGACCACCAGAAGGTTCTTCATCATCGTCAAGAGTACTGAAAAGGTCTCCTCCAGTGGGTGGAGGTTTCTTCTTGGCCGTTTCTTTTTCTTTCTTTGTGGTGCTTTCTGTCATCCAATCGTCTTCCTCTTCATTGTCATCTCCAAACAGGTTTGGCTCCTTTTTACCAGCTGGAGGCTTTGTCTCTTCGCTCTCACTCGCTCTCTTGTCTCTTTTCTTCTTTTTACCACTTCCATCACGTTTCTTCTACAAAAGAATCAAATTAACAATAAAAGTAAAAGACTACACAAATATTTCCGATACACTCATACACAACATGTACAAATAATATCATTTTTCAGAGTACTTCATTTCATTTCTTACCTTCTTTGATTTCTTAGTAATTTCTTCCTCCTCTTTCTCTTCCTCCAAATCTTCTCCTCCAAAGAGCCCTCCCCCTCCTCCTCCAAACAATGGTACTGCTCCTGATGGCAGCTTCTTCTTTCTCTTCCCACTCCCGGTCGATGAGACATTAGACTCCGCTCGGTCACGCCTCTCTTGCTCCTCCTCCTCCTCATCGTCGTCTCCTCCAAAGAGTCCCCCTCCTCCTTTACGAGTGCTACTGAATAGACCACTCCCAGTTCCCTCCTCCTCCTCCTCCTCTTCACTGTCCCTGTGACTGGTGAACAGATCGTCTGTGTGTATGTGTGTGGGCGAAATGTAAAGTCATGTGATTATCATGTGACTTAAGACATAATGTACATGCATGTATGTACATGTACATGTACCTTGTTCACTCTTTTTCTTCTCTTTCTTGTTTTTCTTCTCTTTTTTAGGTTTCTTCTCTTTCTTCTTTTTCTTTTTCGGTTTTTCTGATGGGACGGGCTCATCTTCTTCCTCTTCATCATCATCAAGACCTCCCACTCTCTTACCGAAAAGCTTTGAAGCTAATTCAGCTTGGAAATCAGTCTTTACCTGTGGAAAACAGAGCCTGAAATAACAGTCGGACATTGGAAATTTTTAGAACAACATAATTTTAAAAAAAAAGCTAAATAGCACACTTCATGAGTTGACAATTAAGCACTACAATACAGTACATGACATTTGGAGCAACTTTTAAAATTCATAAAAAATCCAAACTTGATCGGAATTAGCCCAAACTTGATATACAACATAAGTATATGTATATGAATCAGAAAAAATTATAAAAATGCAGAATTCTCTTCTAGTCATTTTTGACAAAATTCGGCCAACAACCCTGTACTATAGTACAGGGACTTTGGCCCTATTTTTGAGCAACTTAAAAAAAATCATAAAAAATCCAAACTTGATCGGAATCAGCTCAAACTTGATATACAACATAAGTACAAGTATACGCATTAGAAAAAATTATAAAAATGCAGAACTCTCTTCTAGTCATTTTTGACAAAATTCGGCCAACGACCCTGTACTATAGTACAGGGACTTTGGCCCCATTTTTGAGCAACTTTAAAAATTCATAAAAAATCCAAACTTGATCGGAATCAGCTCAAACTTGATATACAGCATAAGTACGTGTATATACATCAGAAAAAATTATAAAAATGCAGAATTCTCTCCTAGCCATTTTTGTCACAATACCCTATGTACAACTGCCTGAATGTAATGTAAGGCTAATTTGATTAGACATTATAGTACTGCACATGCACATTAAGCATTAAATATACAATGTCTAATACAAATGTACATATTTTAAAAAATTATTTTTAAAAAAAGAGTTCTCCATTTTACCTCTTCTTCTTCTTCTTCTTCAGTTTCTTCTTCAGATTCTTCTTCACTCTCCTCCTCACTATCATCATCATCCTCTGACTCATCCTCGCTGTCCTCCTTCAACCGATTGGACTTTGACTTCTTCTTTGGTCGTGTCTCATCATCTTCACTGTTAAACAACCCGCCACCTTCTTCACTCTCAGACTCTGAACCAAACTATGAAAATATAAAAGTAGTAATTTTCTTATTACTATTAATAGTATACATGTATTTCTATTAATAGTATGTTTCAAAAACTAACAATGTTACTAAAAATAGTAACGTTCTCACCAGGTCTTCATCGGATTTCTTTGCTTTGGCCTCTCCCTCAACGTCAGTAAAGTCGCTATCAAATTCTGTTACTCTTCTTGTTTCATCTTCCTCTTCAGTGTCCG